ACCGTTACACCTGTCAATTTCTTCCGATTCGCTCATCGTTCGCCGCGCGCGGATCGGCCGAGAAAAAGCGGTTTACTGTTCCCTGGGAGCAAAACCGATCGATAAGAAAACGCGGCGCGGCTGAAACACACCGGCGCGAAGAATAGCGCGTCGTTTCTTCGCACCTGTTGCGCCGCGTCGCGCCGGTGTCTTCGAGTCCCCGGCGTAAAAACGCCGCGCGTACATTCGCGCGGACACGCCGTCATCCGAGATTGTAATCACGCGCGGCTCACCGACACCTCGATAAGGCCCGGCCCGCCGGCCCGAACGGGCGCAATAATTTAGCACAGGCACCGCGCAAGACAAGAATCGTCTCGCTGGAGCGTCGTGCACGTTACGTACGTGCTGGGCCCGTGTAACGTGGAGGCACGCGGCTGCGAGCGCTGCGACCCGCTCGTGGGACTCTCTCCGCGCCGGAGACACGCCGGGGCCCTTCCATTCACGGCCCCGATGCGCCTTCCCAGTACAATTCAATTCGCTGGAAACTACCGCCGCCGCCACCGCCGCCGCCCCCGCCGCCGGCTGCGTGCCCCGCGTCGTGGAATGCTGATTCGAGAGTACACACTCTGCCAGACCCGACACTCGCGGACACCGACACTACGGATCTTTTTCGTGTGTTTCTTCAATGAAAATTGATAGCTCGATTCGCGGGCGTGCTCGAAAATTCTGCGATCGACGCGACGGATCCGATTATCGTTGCTTTTGATGAACTTCGATGGCGGTTGTAGCATCGACCATGGATTCTTGTTAGGCTTTTTCTATCGTTGTCGTTAATGACAACGATTATATGGCAACGATTCGTAAGCGAAGACTTTGGAAGAATTTATGGAAATTGTTATGTTAATTTATTGGAAATAGTAGCACATTTTTATTTGACTTCTGGCTTTTGCAGTGGACAGGGACAATTTTTGTTTTGTATAAAAATCCACAGTTTAGTTGGTAATAGACTGCAGATCTTTGTGCTTCATGTAAGCGAAACACGGGACAGCGAATACTTCGGAAGAATTTATGGAAATTGTTACGTTACTTTGAATTTATTAAAAATATTAGCACATTTTTATTTGACTTCTTCTTTTTGCAGTGGACAGAGGCAATTTTTATTTTGTATAAAAATGCACAGTTTAGTTGGTAATAGACTGCAGATCTTTGTGCAAAATACAAATGTTACTATTATAAGACGTAATTACTATTGTAAGGAACAGATATGCGACAAAAATATGTTTCTTTCTTTAAATAATTTTAATAAGTTGCTAACAGTCGTCTGAAATTTGTCCAGTGTCTGGTTTCATATTTCGCCTATATAGTTATCATACAATTATCATAGTTCACCATATGTATATCATAACTTTATATTATCTTCGATATTAGATCTATTTTGACTATAAAATATTATTCAATAATATTTTATTTGTATGTTATTTTCGTATGCACTGATAGATCGTTACTTCGATAAAAGTTTTTATACTTATAGTTACTTTGATAATTGCAACTTTGATAACATTTAATCATCTCGTTGTACGTTCCGAGGGACTTAATCGGAGAAAAAAATGTCGAGATCAACGTCGATTCTGTGTCGAAAGTGACCGATGAAAATTATGAACCGTTACACGGGTTTTGTAAGAAATATTTTTTTAGCTAACGCTACGTTCGTCGTTCCATGTACCGATACGCGCCGCCTCTTCAGCGACGCACGTACGGAAACGAATGTCCGCGAGCACCTTGCGGAAACGAACGCGCCGCGCATTTCAACATTGCGCCACCGAGTCGCGGACCGACTTTCGATTGGCCGGTTAACGAGCTTCCGAGGGAGCTTCTCGCATTTACATAATATTTATCTGGAGTAATGCGAGATTAATGTGTAAAGAGATTGGAAACAATAACGGCAATAACGCGGCTCTGTATTCAAGTAATTCGTGGTTAAAGCAACAAGAAGCGATTTTTAAAAAAGCAAGTAGCATTTTCCGCCGGTTATAAATTCATTCTAAAGAACTGTTCGAGGATACGAATCAAATAATCCGTCCAATTAGGGTTTAAAATTAAAACGGCTGGAAACTATGGGATGATGCGTTGTAACGTTTATACCCGAGTTGGCAAGAATTCTGTCTACCAGCGAAGTTCTTTGCGCAAGAACCAATTAGTATTGTCGGTTGTGTATTATTATTATTACAAGAGGCGCAGATGCATCCACCTTGAGATTTTATCTCTGAATTTAAAACGAAAAAGAAGAAGCAAAACTGGAGTAATAGAATTTTATTCCTCTCGTATAATAACTAGTTTTATTAAATGTATTACTGTTATTAAACCGCGGATATTTACGGGAACTCTCGTCTTCATGGCAGATTAAACGATGCTTTACGAATCATGATTGTCCATAATTATCGGAGCGTAACTATTTATACCCATTAAAACATTTCGAAACATTAAGTCATTCTGGAGGATCGCAAAACCGTTCTCGTTCGATACAGTTTTAACAATCGGAAATGGAAAATTTCGCTACGCGAAACTACCGATATTTCATCCACGATTTGTCCCTTAAAGGGAGACTTCCCGGCGGGAAATCCTGTTATAAAATCCACGAGAATATTTGCTACGCATCTTCGCGGTCTCGTAATAAATCTGCCGGGTCTGTCCATTCAATGAAAAGATTACATCGGACATTCGAATCCTTCGTCTCGCAATGCACGTAACCGCGTGCGGGACACGTTTTGTGCATTTCAAGGAGTTCCTGGTCGGTTTTCGAAGAAAAAAGTCCAAGTAAAAAGAGTTTCCGAATGAAGTCCACATACCCTTCCCCAAAAATTTGTACGCCTTGGCCATCGTGCGCGCACCGGGCGCATCGGTTATTCGCGTCGTTCTTTAAATTAAAGGAAATCGTTCGGAACAGAAAATTTCGCCAACACGTTCTCATCGATGAATACTTAATAATTACGATGCTCCTCATCGAATAGTAACACGCGTTTTAAAAAATTGCGGCACCTATAATATCATTCTTCTTTAATATCTTTCTTTTTTTTACACGCAAGATCAAATGATGGCAATTCCTATATTTAGATTATTCTTTTCGAATGGAACGTAACTTGCAAATTTGCACAACTTGCAAATTTTTTCGTTTCGATTTAATTACTATAAAATTCATTCGAACTGTCTTCTCTGCTTCCCCCTATTCCTCAATTCAATTTTTCTTTATCCTGCATTTACTTTTGATTTTGTCCTTCACATATGCAAATGTAAATTTAACACTAGAACCGCAAAACCGCGTTAAAATGACTGATCTCTATCATCTCGTTTCACAGTCATCGAAATTCTAAAACTGCATTCATCGTACATTTTGGTAACGCAATCGTTCAATATCTTAGTAAATCCAATTTAATTCGTTAATTCGTTAATTCTTGTCGCAGCCTAACAAAGTCTCCGCGACGGTTACCATCGCTACGACGAGAGATTCTCTCGTTCCCCGCGTTTCGAGATTCGCCGCGACAATGTTGATTAAGAAACGGTGGAAAGAAATACCCGTCGACGGGCGGCTGAAAGCGGGGACAGGATCCTATCGACGAACAGAGAGGAGAGTTATTGTGCGTGCCGAAAGAATGGCTGGATATCGCGGGAGGGTGGCCGTGTGTCGCGTTTCAGGAACAATCGAACTCTCCGGAGCACTTTCAATCCGAAAGAAATTGCGAAAACGAGTCGCGTAAGAAAAGAATCGCTGGATCCGCCTCCGGCTGCGTTTTTCACGTGGTCCGTCGTCATCGTCGTCATCGTCGTCGTCGTCGTCGTCGTCGTCTGCGGGTAAAGGGAACCGGGATAGACGGTACATACGAACAGCAGAGAATTCCGTATTCTGTGCGCACTCGGCATACAATTCGTTCGACTGGGGCGAGGGTGTTAACGAGAATTCGCCCACGCACGCTCGCGCCATATGACGCTTTGACTCACTCCGTTGTTAAGGCCGGTTCACCCTCCGGACAAACGCATCCCGCCGGTAATTACTATGATAAACTGCATGTACCCGGAGAGGCACGACTCTCGTTTCCCTACGAATTTCATGGGAAATGGAGTTCCCCGGATTAGTCTCGCATCGCGCGGACGCATTCCGATGCGACGCAGGAATCGGTCTGTCTCGTCGACAATGGGAACGCGAAGGGGGCCGTGGTTTACCAATCTCGACACTGATTTGTTAAGTGTACGCTGCTGGTCCCGCCTATCGCGCCGCTCGAGTCTCGGCACATTGGCAATCTTACGGAAAATATCTTTAATTGATTCTTCGATGAATCTTACGAATAGAAGAATTTCTTGATGAACCTTAGACTATTTTCCAGTACGCGAAATCGTTGGCAATCGAGTTGATCGTAACTGTATAATATTGCTTTCCGTATCGATGATATTCTAAAATTGATTCGGCGAAGCAGAATATTTGTTGAACTTTTTCTGACAACTTTAGCCGCATTAATCTTGGTAATTTCTTAAATCACATTATCGCGGACTTTGTCGCATGCTATGCGAATTTGTAATCTCGGCACATTGGCAATCTTATGGAAAATATCTTTAATTGATTCTTTGATGAATCTTACGCGAATAAAAGAATTTCTTGTTGAACCTTAAACTATTTTCCAATACTCAGAATCGTTGGCAATCGAGTTGATTATAATTGTATAATATTGCTTTCCGTATCCATGATATTCTAAAATCAATTCGGCGAAGCAGAATATTCGTTAAACTTTTACTGACAACTTTAGCCGCATTAATCTTGGTAATTTCTTAAATCACATTATCGCAGACTTCGTCGCATGCTGTGCGAATTTGTTATTTCGTTAAAAATGAATGGTATTGGCACTCGACGACGAAAGTATAATAGTTTCGAAGATGATGGCACGCGTCACATGCAAATCTCGAGCGACACAATGTATAATACAATCTAGCCGTGCGGCAGCGTAATAACAAAATGTATTTTCGTTCTGTTACAGCCCCGGTATACGACCACGATAGCACGCTAATAGCAGAATACAATGGAGGTGCGTATGACGATGATGATGATATGCGAACATTTACTGTGCACTTAGCCAATTCGCATGCACGCTATTGGCGCGATGTTAATTGTATCGAACGGCACGTGCTGTCCGGTCGATACTTACAAGAGACATTCAATCAATCCTTTCGATGAATAGCAACTACCGTCAACGGTCAGCTGATTATCCTGCCCATAAAGATTTGCAATCGTAAAGCGTGTTTACACGATGATGTTTGGCTCCGTGCTGAATCGTAAAATCCGCCTCATTTACTTTTCCGCTTGTTGGAACGAAATTAACGGATCTCATTATGCCGCGCGCGCGCGTTCTTCCCTTTGGTGATTTCCACGGGCATCCTCTCGTGAAAAATTATTGTTGCAGGCTCGCGCCCGTTTCGTAAACTATACATTTACTTTATAACTGTTCCGCGGTCGCAACGACCAGTTCTACTGTTACCATCGTTCGTGATCGCGTCTCATTATGTCCGTCGGATAGATGAATTTATCGAAATCGCTTATCTATTTCTCCAATTAGCTATAAAACTTGTCTATAATTGAGCAGTATAATTCGCGGGGAAACACGCGAAAAAACGTCGACCGGCGTGCACGCCGGCTTCTAATCACGCCGGGCGATTAACATTTTTAACGATTAAACGGTAGATTTCGTTTTACACGCGTAAGGGAGAACGATGAATAAAAGAAACAGGGAATCGTATTGAAGCGGACGATCTTTAAATCATTCCGCGAGAGGAAGGAAACGTTGATGCGCTCACGCAACGGGGCGCGTTGCGTTTTATTAATTATCCCCGTGCCGTGAGATTGGCTGTTTTAAACGTTGCAATTAAAAAAGACCCGTTTCTAATTGCCGTTTTGAACTCGCAGCCCCGGCCGGATGCTACTACAACTTCCAGCACTACGACGAGGGCGACCGAATCGTCACGAACGAGCCATGCCTGAACTGCACGTGTCACAATCAGATGCTGATGTGCTACCTGAGGGTCTGCCCGTTCACGAAAGCGATCGGCCAGGATTGCACCGTGGAGAAGCGTCCCGATCAGTGCTGTCCCGTGATCACATGCCCCGAGGTGCCGGTGCAACTGTTGACGTCGACGACCAACGCGCCGGCGATTTCCGGTTCCACCGCGGTCGGATTCCACGACAACTACGGCTGCAACGTCGAGAATCGATTCTACGCGGACGGCGCGCAATTGCCGACCGATCCTCAGAATCCTTGCGAGTTGTGCTACTGCATCAGGAACAGGACCACCTGCGTGATGCAGGAGTGCACTCTGCGCGTGGCTGGGTGCAAGCCAGTCTATCAACCCGGTGTGTGTTGCCCGGTCAAGTATAATTGCGGTGAGTACCCTTACGAACATTTTTCAGACAGTATCGTCGTAATCGACGGTACCAGATGTCTTCTAGGAACAGAGATTTAAGTCGCCGCGAGACCGGAATTAACCCTTAGCGCTCCGAAGGCTCCGCTACGGAGACATTTGTCATTTGTTCCGTAACTCCGAAGGCTCCGCTGCGGAGCCAAATTTTTTTAGCATACGTTATCGTCGGCGTTAGCAATTGTTGTCTGTAGTTAAAACGTGCCGAGTCTGTACCAGTACGATTAAACCATTTTTTGATCTTTTTTATGGTTAGCATCATGGAGAAAAATAAATATTACGATGAGAATTTAGAGCCGAGCGATACCGAAGACGTATTTGATTTTGAAGAGTTAAAAGACATTGCGGAAGACAATGTTGGTTATGATTCTGACACTTCGAGTAGTAGTAGCGAAATTATACTACCAAAGAGACGAACAATGAGAATTATTGAAAGCGAAAGCGAAGATTCGTTACGAGACTTAGATGAACGGCGCGATGTTACGGAAGAATTACATATTCCAGATAGAATACCTTTTAGTGTATTGCCACGGGTCGTTGGACCACAATTTCCTACAAACGTTGAACAGCCGATACGATATTTTAAATTATTTTTCACGGACGAATTGGTAAATGAAATTATAAAGGAAAGCAACAATTGCGCAGAAAATGTTCTAAACTTGAGAGAAATATCTAGTAACTCTATTTGGCAAAGCGAATACTGTGACACTTGTCCAAGTAAACCCAGAATGCACATGGGAGATTGTTACCAAAGATATCACACCATGGTGAATTACAAAATTTAAAATTTATCCTTTATTTACAAGAGGAAAATGTCTATTTATAAAATAAATCAAATCAAATGCATTCGCAAGGACGTGTAATCTTCCCCGCTCAAAATAAGACTTCCTTTATCTCAAGCGCTCCGCTCCAAAAATGTGCCGAAGTTGCTGGTAGGCAGTACAGTAATGTCTCCCTTACTGACGCTCAGATTGTGCAGAAAAACGGACAATTTGGAAGAGGAGATACGATTATTCGAGCCTTGTAGCTCGTTTCTATAATCGTTGACAATTCGTGACTATAAAAACAAACTGCAAAGCTCGAATAATCGCACCTCCTCTTCTCAAATCGTCCATTTTCGTGTGCAATCTAAGCGTCAATAAGGGAGACATTACTGTACTCGAGAAACGCGCGGAGCGCTAAGGGTTAATAGAAAGAAACGATCTCGCGACGTCGACAGTGAAAATCGATTTCGACAGGCCGTTTTCGCAGCAATGATCGAATGCTATTTAATGATTCCGATTCGACAGAATACGACGAGGAACTTGCAACGACGGTTGAACCAACGCCTGGCTTGATCATGACCACGACGATGGCACCCGGAGCGTCGCCGCAATGTTACCACGAAGGCAACGTGTACGAGGACGGTGATCTGATCTCGTCGTCGCAGCCTTGCCAGCATTGCTACTGCTTCCGAGGTGACATCGCCTGCGCCGTACAGAACTGTGGAACCCCCATGGAGACCCATGGAAAGAACTGCACCGCTTTGCCGCCGCCCGAAGGGAAATGCTGCCCGGAGACCTACGAATGCGGTAAGAAATTTCGCCACGTTTTCAAACGCGAAACAAGCACGAGCACACCTTCGGCATCGTTTTTACACTAATCTTTACACCTTGTAGAAGACGAAGGTCATGGTGCGATCATCACGGTCCCAGAAAGCGCACAGACCACCGAGGAACCGATTCTGGAATCGACGATGCCAAGCGCCGAGGAAGAAGGAAAGAAGCCGGAAGCTGCTGAGACCACCGAGGAATCGTTCCCTGGCTACGACAATGCAATTCCGGAAGTACCCAAAGAGACTGCACCGGCCACTGAAGCACCAGGGAAAGAAGAGCCGCAAGAAACGACTTCGCCGGCGGAAGCTGTTCCATCGTCCGAGCCAACATTGAAGGAGATCAGCACCGAAGCTCCTCTTTCTCCAACGGAACCAAGCGCGACAACCAAAGCGCCGAAGCCTGTCGAAGCCGAGGGTCAAGCTACGGAAGCGCCGATCTTGGAAGAGACAAGTGAAAAGGCGACAGCGAAACCGGAAGAGGAGGTTACACAAGGACTCGCGGAAACGTCGGAGCTTCCGGGAGAACCGGAATCGACTTCGCCGACAGCCGAAGAAACGGCCGCAGAAGTGACCGGGGAAGAGGCGCAACGACCAACCGAAGCAGCTGTCCCTGAAGAGAAGCATACCGAAGCCGCGCCGAAGGAAGAAGGAACCGAGAAACCGGAAGAAGCGAAACCGTCGGAGGAAGGATCGCAGACGAGCGCCACCGAGGCCGGTATTGCCGAAGAGAGTGCTGCGACCGAAGCAGCCGTGAAGCCGACGGAAGCACCGGTAGTGCCAACCGAAGAGAAGGCGGTGACCCCTGAAGAAATTCTCGAAGTGTCCACGGAGGAACAAGTGACAGAGGAGGCTAAAGGAACGGAGGCGACCATGATATCCGAACCGGAACAGAAAGTGAGCACCGAGGCGCCGGTCAAAGGTAAACCGGAAGAGGCGGCTACGTTGGGCGCGGAAACGCCAACGGAGGAGAGCGTGCCCGAGGTAGCGAGCACGGAAACAGCGCCTAGCGAAGAAGAACAGAAAACAGCAGCGCCAGAAGTCGGTCACGAAGCAGAGGCCACGGAACCGAGCGTGCCTGCGGGACAAGCTGAAGAACAAGTCACGGAAGGTATCATCGAAAAGAAACCCGCGCCGGAGGTATACGATCACAAAGCACCCGAAATGCCTGGAATAGTTCCCAAGAAAGAAGACATGATCCCAACCGAAGGTCCTATGATCGAGGAGCCAATCGTGACGGTGAAGATACCCGAAGAGGAAGGAGCTCCTGAAATACCAGCACAAGGACCAACCGGAATTCCTGTCACCGAACGCGTGCCTGGAGGCAAGGCAGAGGACAAGGAAGCGGTGCCTGAGATTCAGGTAACGGAAGGCTATGTAGACAAGAAGCATCCAGAGTTCCATGTACCTGGCAGTTTGGTCACCGAGGCTCCCGAGAAGGCGCCGACCACGTATCTCCCACCACCTAAGGAAACCGCTCCCGAGGAAGAAGGATCTGGCGAGGCAGGCACCACGCCCGCAAGCCAAGCACCAGAAAAAGCAGCGACTACAGTTCCGGTCCATGAAGAGGAGGCAGAGACTCCGTCAGCCACCGAAGCTGGGTTAGAAGCTCCGCAAGCTACCGAGGCGAGTCCAGGCTTGGAAGTTTCCACGCAGCAGGTTCCGCAAGAACAGGAGCCTGCGAAACCGACCGCATCGGAGGAAGTTAGCACCGAGGTATCGTCCGAGGTCCCGTCATTGAAGGAAGCGTCTCCGCCGACTCCGCCGGCGAAGGGACTCGCTATCGAGGAGTCCGGCGAAACGTCGTCCGAGGAGCTCAGCGAGCCCAGCGAGGAAGTGGAACATCCTACAGTCGGATCGACCGAGAGAACGGTAATCTCATCCGAAGCGCCAGCCGAACCGGAAGAAAAGCCTACTGAACAGCCTGCAACGCAGGAAGCAGTCACAGAGGGCAAGGGTGCTCCCGAAACCACGTTGGCTCAATCCACCGAAGCTCCGCACGTTGAAGCACCTACAGAAGCTAGTCAAATTCCTGAAGAGAAGCCTGTGACCGAAGAAGAGGCAACTGCTGAACAGGGTACAAGTGCGCCGTCTGTGCAAACGCCTGAAGAACAAGTCACTGGAGAGCCGGTTTCTGAAGAAAAGGCACCAGAGGAGCAGGCGACTGAGAAACCAGGTGTTGAGGAAGGAGTACCGGAGGAGCAGGTGACCGAGAAACCAGGTGTTGTTGAAGAAGCCGTGCCCGAGGAACAGGCAGGTGAGAAACCAGGCGTTGAGGAAGAAGTTCCCGAGGAACAGGCGACTGAGAAGGCAGTTTTCGAAGAAGAAAAGGTTCCAGAGGAACAGCAGACTGAGAAATCAGTTCCTGAAGAGCAGGCGCCGGAGGAACAAGTGACTGAAAAACCAGTTACCGAGGAAAAGGAACCTGAAAAACCGGCGACTGAGGAACCAGCTTCTGAAGAGAAGGTACCCGAGGAACAACTGACCGAGAAACCTGCTGTTGAGGAGGGAGCACTTGAAGAACAGATGACGGAGGAACCAGCTGGTGGCAAAGAGACACACGAAGGCGAAGCTACTATGAAGCCAGTTGTTGGCGTAGAAGCACCTGAGGAACAAGTGACCGAGAAAGTAATCTCTGAAGAGAAGCAAGCTCCGTCTACTGGTGAACCTGGGAAAGTTGAAGTGGAGGGTACGTCGCAACAGCCTGTCAGCGAAGAAGCAAGCGAGAAACCTGTTGAGGAAGAAATTCCGAAAGAAACGGCAGCTCCAGAAGTTGAGAGTTCGCCAGCTCCTGGGGAAACGGAGGAGATTGAGCATCCAACGGAAAGTACTCTGATGGTTGAAGTTCATCCGACGGTAGTTTCTGTTGAAGAAATGAAACCGTCGGAAGAGGGAGCTTCCGAGCAGCCACCTACCGAGCAGACCGAGGGATCGACGATCAAAGAATCGTCCACTGTTGGCTATGAAGGGGAACACAAGACGGAGAAGCCAATGAAGGAAGAAGCGCAGACTGAAGGGCCGTTCGCCGAAGTGCCATCGACTGAAGGATCGGTTACCGAAGCAGGAGAACAAGAGACCCAAGCTCCGCTCGAGGAACAGAAACCAGTGAAACCACCAATTTCTGAGCGAAAGGAGGATGAAGGTATAAAGCAACCAGAGGAAATGCCGAAAGAGGGACTGGAAGCTACTCAGAAACCATCTCTTGAAGAAGAGAAGCCAACTGAGAAGCCTGCGGAAGGAGAACTAGTCACTGAGACGGCTGCTGAAGCAGAGACTCCGAGTGTAGAAGAGATGCCCGAGAAACCTGCCGAGGAAGAGAAGAAACCTATGGAAGAAGAGAAACCGACTGAAGGACTTGCTGAAGAAGAGAAACCAACTGAAGGACCTTCCACGGAAGAAAAGCCAACTGAAGGACCTGCTGCGGAAGAGAAGCCAACTGAAGGACCTGCCGTGGAAGAGAAGCCAACTGAAGGACCTGCTGTGGAGGAGAAGCCAACTGAAGGACCTGCTGTGGAGGAGAAGCCAACTGAAGGACCTGCTGTGGAGGAGAAGCCGACTGAAGGACCCACTGAAGAAGAAAAGCCAACTGAGGGACCTGCTGCGGAAGAGAAGCCAACTGAAGGACCTGCGGAGGAGAAGCCGACTGAAGGAGCCACTGAAGAAGAAAAGCCAACTGAAGGACCTGTAGTGGAAGAGAAGCCAACTGAGGGACCTGCGGAGGAGAAGCCGACTGAAGGAGCCACTGAAGAAGAAAAGCCAACTGAAGGACCTGTAGTGGAAGAGAAGCCAACTGAGGGACCTGCGGAGGAGAAGCCGACTGAAGGAGCCACTGAAGAAGAAAAGCCAACTGAAGTACCTGTAGTGGAAGAGAAGCCAACTGAGGGACCTGCGGAGGAGAAGCCGACTGAAGGAGCCACTGAAGAAGAAAAGCCAACTGAAGGACCTGTAGTGGAAGAGAAGCCAACTGAGGGACCTGCTGCGGAAGAGAAGCCAACTGAAGGACCTGCTGCAGAAGAGAAACCAAGTGAAGGACCTGCTGCGGAAGAGAAACCAACTGAAGGACCTGCTGCGGAAGAGAAACCAACTGAAGGACCTGCCGCGGAAGAAAAGCCAACTGAAGGACCTGCCGCGGAAGAAAAGCCAACCGAAGGACCTGCCGCGGAAGAGAAGCCAACTGAAGGACCTACCGAGGAGGAAAAGCCGTCTGAACAACCCGCGGAAACACCTAAACCATCCGAAGAACCTACGGAAGAAGAGAAGCCAACCGAGGGACCTGTGGAAGAAGTTCCTGTTGAGGAAGGGAAGCCAACGGAAGGACCCATTGAGACTGAAAAACCGTCCGAAGAACCAGCTAAGGCAGAAAAGCCAACCGAAGGACCTTCTGAAGCAGAGAAGCCAACTGAAGGACCTTCTGAGGCTGAAAAACCAACTGAAGGACCTTCAGCGGAAGAAAAGCCATCTGAAGGACCCACTGAGGCAGAGAAACCAACTGTAGGACCCACTGAGACAGAGAAACCAACTGAAGGACCCTCTGAAGAAGAGAAACCATCTGAAGGACCCACTGAGGCAGAGAAACCAACTGAAGGACCTTCTGAGGCTGAGAAACCAACTGAAGGACCCTCTGAGGCAGAGAAACCAACTGAAGGACCCACTGAAGCAGAGAAACCAACTGAAGGATCCACTGAAGAAGAGAAACCATCTGAAGGACCTACTGAGGCAGAGAAACCAACTGAAGGACCCACTGAGGCGGAGAAACCAACAGAACAACCTGCGGAAACAGCTAAGCCTTCCGAAGAACCTGTAGAAGAGGAAAAACCAACAGAAGAGAAGCCAACAGAAGCACCTATAGAACTATCAACTGAAACACTTGTTGCAAAGGGAGGCAAACCAGCTGAGGAAGAAATGCCAACCGAGGGACCTGCGGTAGAAATTCCTGGAGAGCAAGAGAAGCCAACTGAAGAAGCACCTGTCGAAGAAGGTAAGATTCCTACAGAAGTGACGCCGACTGTGAAGACTCCGGAGGTAGAACAGGCAACTGAGCAACCTATCGAGGAACAGAAGCCTACTGAAGAAGAGCTGGCCACTGAGATACCTATGGCCGAAGAGAAAGCAACTGAACCTGGTAAGGCTGCAGAGGAGGCAACTGGAAAGCCTGTAGAGAAGGAAGAACCAACTGAAGGTCCTGCCGAAGAAAGAAAGCCTGAGGAGGAAGAGAAACCAAGCGAGAAACCTGAATTAGCTGCTCCAGAACAGATACCAACTGAGAAATCGATCGAGAAAGAACCTACTGTACAGCCTGCGGAACAAGAAAAGCCTGGCGAGGTCACGCCTCCACAAGAAGCCGTGAGCGAGGTTTCAGTAACCGAAGAGGTCGCCACGGAAGGTCCAGCTGTTGAAATGAAACCATCCGAAGGTGCCGAACAGGCGGCCACGGAAGCTCCTAGTGCAGAAGAAACGGCTAGCCAAGCTGGTGCTAAAGAACCTGAAGTGTCAACTGAAACCTTCAAAGAGACATCCGAACTCGTCACGGCCATTGCTGAAGAAACAGTTTCGCCTGCACAAGAAGCACAAACCGAAGCAGCTGTTCCTCAAGAGAAACCAAGCGAGGCGCCAATCTCTCCTGAAGAGGCATCCACTGAACCTACCAAAGCAATTCCGGAACAAGAAGGAACCCAACTTCCAGAAGTAGGTCCGCAGAAGACAGAATTACCGGCTGAAGCTACAACGGCATCTGCCTTGCCAGAGAAACCGAGCGAAGGCAAACTACCAGAAATGCCTGAAGTATCTTCGACTGAAGCAGGTCTCGAAGCATCCACGGAAGCAGCCGCGTTGCCGGAGGAAGGCACCAAGACTCCTCTACCCGAAGAAGCTGCAACTGAAGGAACCCCGAAAGAAGCTACCACGACACAGCTTCCAGCCGAGGAGGAAACGAAAGCATCAAGCGCGGATAAGGCTCCGGAAGCGCCCACTTTGGAACCAGGCAAGGAGGAAGGACAAACCACACCATCGGCTGAAGAGGTACCGAAAGAAACCACCGAACAGGTCGAGCAAACTACAATGTCTGCCGAGATGCCCCAAGAAGAAGCAACTCCGGAATACCCGACGTCCAAACCAGCTGTCATTCCAGGAGAAGGCAACTGTCTCGTCGAAGGACAGTCTTACAGCAACAACTCCGCTGTTCCTCCCGCCAATGTCTGCCAGCTTAAGTGCCGTTGCGTCAGCAGCATTATCCAGTGCGATCTTGTCGATTGTCCTCCGCCACCGAGCCACCTATCCAACTGCATGCCGCTCCACAACAGCAAAGACAGTTGCTGTCCAATGTACACTTGCGATTCGCCTACCGCGATGCTGGAATCCGACAACCACATGATCGAGCCCGAAAAACCTAAAAACGAAACAGAGGAGGAGCAGAAGACCGTGTCACCTGCAGAGGCGCCGGCTGAAGAGGTCATGAAGGAGCCTGTCGAGGGTGCGAAGGAGCAGGGGGAGACGGCTGCACCTGGGCTGAAAGAGGAAGCTCAAACTACTCCGAAGTCCGCCGAACCTGAAGCCGCGCAACCGACCACCGAAGCAGAACCCGCTAAACCAGCCGAAGAGCAACCTGCTAGCACTGTTGTCCCGCAGATAGAGGTTACTAGTCAAGCTCCGTCAGAGCTGCCGAAAGAGACACCTAGCACCGAAGAACAAGAAGCAACTAAGACATCGTCCACTGAGCAACCATCGGAAGCGCAGGTTCCGGAAGAGAAGATTCCGAGCGAAGCACCAGTAGTTGTTACGACAGAGGCAGTTCTGGAAGAGCAAACACCCACCGGAGCGGTGAAAGAAACGCCTACCACTCTGAAACCGACCGGCGAAGAGCCATCGGAGGAGGAGCAGAAGCCTGTGACAAGTGAGGAAGCGACCGTTTCTCCTGCCATTCCTGAGGAAGGTGCGAGCCAAGAGCCTGAGGTGCCAAGTTCGTCGGAAGAGGCTCAACCGCCGGTGACCGAAGGCCAGAAGGTAGAAGAAGCAGAAGGAACTACTCCTGCATTGGAAGCACAGTCTGAGAAACCTGCTGAAGAGGAAGCTAAACCAGCAGAAGAAGGCAAACCAGTTGAAGAAGGCAAACCAGTTGAAGAGGGTAAACCAGTTGAAGAGGGTAAACCAGCTGAAGAAGGTAAACCAGCTGAAGAAGGTAAACCAGTTGAAGAGGGTAAACCAGCTGAAGAAGGTAAACCAGTTGAAGAGGGTAAACCAGCTGAAGAAGGTAAACCAGTTGAAGAAGGTAAACCAGTTGAAGAGGGTAAACCAGCAGAGGAAGCTAAACCAGCAGAGGAAGGTAAACCAGAAGAAGAGGGTAAACCAGCAGAGGAAGCTAAACCAGCAGAGGAAGGTAAACCAAAAGAAGAAGCTAAACCAGAAGAAGAAGCTAAACCAGCTGAAGAAGGTAAACCAGCAGAGGAAGCTAAACCAACAGAAGAAGGTAAACCAGCTGAAGAAGCCAAGCCAACTGAAGAAGCTAAGCCAGCTGAAGAAGTTGAACCCGAACAACCGGTAACAGAACCCGGATTACCGACCACTCAACCAGCCGAAGCTGAAACTGAAGGACCGTCTCCAGCCATCGAAGTATCTGTCCCAGGAGAAGGTTTGAAAGTAGGAGGAATCCCAGAAACTACTGAACCTACTACCAAAGCACCTGCAGAAGAAGCGACACCATCGGGCGAAGCTGAAGCTACCAAGACCCCAGTACCTTCCGTAGAAGAGCAAACGATTCCAGTTGAAATCACACAGCCTGCGGTGCCTTCCGAGGAGGAGCAAACCAAAGAACCATCCGTGACCGAAAGCGAAGCTAAGGGAACTACGGAAAGTGCTGAAGTGCCGGCTGAAGCGTTCACGCAGCAACCGGAGAAGATACCCGAGGAACAAGTGCCAAGTTCGACCGAGGCTGCTCAAACTGAAACCGAACAGCCTACAGAACCTCAGGAAACCACAGAAAAGGAAGTAGTTCCGGAGACGAAGCCTGAAGAAGCTACTCCGCAACCTGGACCAGAAGAACAGCAACCTGAGAAGATCCCGTCCACGGAGGAACAGACTCCAGAGTCGGTCTCGCCTGCTGAAGAAGGAAGCACACCATTGTCCGAAGTAGGAACTGCCGCTTCCGTCACTGAACCTGGCCTGCCCGAGGAAGGAACTAAACAGCTTACCGAAGAAGCGAGTGCATCCACCGAAGGTGTCAAGGAACAACCGACCACCGAAGCAGCTATTGAACCAATCGAAGTGCAAACACCATCCGAGCAGGAAGCCACGGTATCGCCAGCTCCGGAACAAGCACCGGAAGGACCATCGACAGAGGCTCATGGCGTTAAAGCAGCGACCGAGCAAGCAATCGAACAAGAAACCATCGCGCCGATCGGAGCAGAAGAGAAACCTGAACAGGAAACTCAGAAACCAACTGCCGAAGAGGCTGTAACGCCTACTGAACCGTCCAAGGCCGTTCCCGAAGGTGAAGCTGTCACTGAAGCAGGTCAAGAGCAACCTAGCGAGACTACGTCTCCGGCTGCAGAAGCTGGCTCGACCCTGGCACCCGAAGCATCCTCGCCTGAACAAGAAGCTGAGGCAGTGAAACCTGTCACCGAGGCCGAGGGCGTGACCGAAGAAAAGGCACCAGCTACTCCGAGCGAAGTAAGTTCGACTGAAGAATCTACGAAGCCGTCGGAGGAGGAAGTACCTCAAGGCACAGAAGCTGCACCGGTGCAGAAGGAGACTGGCGTACCTTCGACGGAAGAACAGGCGACTCCAGCTGCCGAGGTTCCAGAAGTGACCGAAGCTGCGCCAGTAGGTCCTGAGGTTAGTTCGACCGAGACACCAGAGAAAGCAATCCCGACGGAAGCAACGGGACAAGAGATTCCTGAAGAGCCAGCGAAACCTACCGAAGGTCCTGCAGTCGAAACACCGGCTCCCGAATCACCGGAGACACCAGTTCCGACATCAGCACCTTCCGAAGCAACCGAGATCCCTGAAAAAGATGTAACGCACGAGACTGAGCGACCGGCTGTTAAGATCGTTCCGACTGAGCAAGTTCCAGAGATGGAGGTACCAGTGGAAGTAGAAACATCTACAGCGGCAATTCCAGAGAAAGAACTTCCGAGCGAGGCTCCCGAAAGTGTCCTGCCTACCGAAGCAACCGAGAAAGCTGAGCCTGAAGCGACCGAGAAGCCGCAACCGGAAGCGTCCAGCGTAGCACCGGAAGGAACTCTTCCCGAACAGAAACCAGAGATCACCGAGGAACCAGAGATCCTATTTGAGGAGAAGAGACCTGGAGGAGGTGAGCAAGAGACACCACGACCGGAGGAAGAAGCTTCGCAGACGCCGCAACCGGAAGAAGAAGCTTCGCAGACGCCGCAGCCGGAGGAAGAAATTTCGCAGACACCGCAACTGGAGAAAGAGATTCCACAGACAACGGCAACGCCTCTGATCAATGAAACATTACCAACTGCGACCGAGGCTTCCGCGGAAGAAGAACAACCGACCAATGCTCCAGTTGCCGGAGAAGAGTTGGCCCAACCAAGCACGCCCGCAGCTGCGCCCGAGGAGACCTCGCCTCACGAGGAGCATCCGCCGGTCGAAGTTACGGAAGCCCCGGTAACACCTGAAGAGCAGGAACTTCCGAAGGAAACTCCAGCAAGCCAGGCAACGGAGGCAGCTCAACCTGTCACGGAACCCGCGATGGAAGCGTCGACGGAAGCAGAGAAAACTCCGGAGGAAGTACACGAACCCGAGCCAGTGCCAACATCGTCGGAAGCACCGAAAGAGAAGAGCACCGTGGAGCCAACGATCACTGCGGAACACGTAGAAGGCGTCGAGACTAAGCCGTCGACCGAGGCACCTGTCGAAGAGCACGAGACCGAGGAGCCCGAAGGACTTCCAACGAAGCCATCGGAAGAGGAAGTTACACCGCACGCCGGCGAGCCCGCGTCGCCGGAGGCAGGTCCGACGACCGAGAAGGCGGAAGTTGAAACTCCGTCGACGATCGGATTCGACGAACACCTTCAGCCGGAGAACCACACCTACCAAGCTACCGAGCAACCGCTGCACCCTGGCATTCACGAGCTACCGACAAGCCCCCCCTCGTTTTCGGAGTACCCCGACCAGAGCTCGGGAGAGGAAAGCCCTCAATTCCCATCCCATGGAGGCATCGATACGAACCCCGAAGAGGACTACGACGAAGACGACCAAGCCATCTACGGACCGGGAACCTGCCGATACGGCGGCAAGGTCTACATGTCGGCGCAACAAATACCGAGAGACGACCCCTGCGACTTCTGCTTCTGCTTCAGAAGCGACGTCATCTGCCTACAACAGAGCTGTCCGCCACCGATCCGCGGCTGCCACGAGGAACCGATCAGCGGCTTCTGTTGCCCGAGATACGAGTGTCCTGTGTCGATGGCCACGTCGCTGAACATCACCACGACCACGACCACGACCACCACCACGTTACCTCCGCATTTCCACGCACACGCGTACAAGGGAGCCGCGAAGCGAAGCGGCTGCCAGATCCGCGGACAAGCGTACCGAGTCGGAGAAGTTATCAGGTCCGCATCGGGACCTTGCCTTCAGTGCACGTAAGTTGTCCTTTGAAATACACGATATTAACGATGATTGAGTTGCGAGACTGGCTTTAGAGAGTTCGAGTTATGAGACTGATTTTTCAAAATTTAAGATCTATGTCGAGCGTTCAGGGCAACATTTGCTCGTAAGCGAAGCCTGTTACGTTCCTGTTGTTTCACACGTTTTACTGTTGTTATGTAGACAGTGCTATATTTATTTAATTGCTTGATCTAGCTCAGATGTGCCTATATAATATATTTAGAAATATATAAATATAATATAATAAATATAATATAATATATATAATTTCTATATAATAAATATATAGAAATATAATAGTTATAGTGAAACTATTTTTTAATTGAGAATTACGATAGTGCTATCTGCTGTAATTAATGCTTGAAGAACTCTTTCGTTTACCACCGAACCGCGGGTATGGACTTATCTATGGATTAAGAATATGGATAAATTATTTCCGACTGATCAGAATAACGACTCGATCAAACGATCGAAGTAATGAACGAACGATACGCTATAATAAAATCGGGGACGCTTTTTTAACAAGAGATACACGACGTATCTGGCGACTCAGCCTAAGAAATAATCGAACCGCGTTTTCGGATGCTGCGACAAGACATCGTGTTTGTAAACGATTCCGAAGCTTGAAAGAGCGGCTAAATGAACTAATCGTTGAATTTCAGTTGCGGCGGCGACGGAAACATGAAGTGCGAGCCACGAGTGTGCAGCGCGGAGCCGATGCTCAGGCAGATGATCGCGGCGGCCACGGCCAGAAGGAGGAGATGAGCCGGCGAACACGATCCCGGGGATCTTCTGCAGAGGAGTAGACACGAGGAAGCCTAGAGGAGGAAACAGTGTTGTATAAAAGTGAATTTAAACGAATATTCTAAACTATCGAAATGTCGCAGAACCACAGACAATAATTGTGCTTCGGCGAACACGAACTGAGTGGCCAAAACGTAAACGTTTATATTATAATATTATATTATGTTATATAAAGAAAGAACAAGCAGGAGGGAGGAAAGAGAGATAGGAAATAAGGATAGAGCACGCGCGAGAGAGTGTGAGAGAGAGAGCGAGAGAGAGAGAGAGAGAGCGAGAGAGCGAGAGAGAGAGATACCGAATCGGAACGGTGAAACGGAAAGAAAGGGACTTTAAGCGATGTATAAAAAAGAAAAAAAGAGAAAAAGAGAAAAAACGAAAAAAGAAAATGGAATTTAGCTGCGAGGCTCGTTTTCTGGTGCCAAACGTGACGGAACGAGAGGAACCGGTGGAACGGGAGACGGGATAGTGAAGAATATTTCGTGATAGTTCCACGTCCCACGCCATTTTTTTGTACGAGTAGAAACGACGGTCGCGGGAGAGGAGAAACAGAGAGAAAAAGAAATTATAATAGGAAAACTGTTGCCGAACGTACGAGACTTATGACTGTGCCTTCGTCAGTGCTGAAAGAAACAGCGGCACTACTTTCGTTTCGTGTGGCAGCCAATCGGCGCTGATTCCGGCCACGATCGTCGTCGTTCAGAGAGTTTCGTTATCGCCATTAGGAAATCATCATTAGGATCTAAATCGCGCGCGAAACAAAAACAACAAAAAAACATGCAAAAATTGGTGAAGGGTAAAACAAAGGGTAAAAACTCGGTTTCGGCGAACCAAAAGGAATTGAAGCATGACGGAAAAACGAAAAAGAAGACAAAAAAAAAGAGAAAGATAGAACACGTATGCTAATGATACATTTGGTACACGTCGAACACGATTTCCTGTGAGCGCAGTGGACGTTGTAACAGCGACCGACGATCGCACGAGGGAGAATCGGCGGATTCGTCTTCGTTAGAAGACGGAACGGAAGGAATTTCGCGTAACGGAACCAAGAGACCCGCTGGTTTCTCTCGCGCGATCGAACGTGTCGGGAATATATTCGTTGCTCTTACGACACCGCTGCTGAAAGCTCGGGACCACGATGATCCGAGGCGATCGGTCGCGCGATCGACGCAGGGTGCCCCAGACCGTTCTCTGGCTGTCGGTCGTTTTAACCGCGTTCAACATCAGCTTGCTTCCTCAAAGACACGGCTGCGATCGTCCCCCTCCGCCCCCTGCGTTGCTCGCGCGACGAACGGAATCGCTCTTATCGCGACCGATAATTATTCCCCCGTGCAATAAACTTGATCGCGTTCGGGTGCGCGTGCGTGCGTGCGTGTGTGCATGGGATACATTTATATGTCGATAGAGCAGAAGAATAGAGCGAGAAATGGTGAACAGGAAAAAAAAAGTAACACGAAGGAAGGGAAGAAAGAAAGAAAGAAAGAAAGAAAGGAAGGAAGAAGGAAAGACACGACGAAAGGTACGCGTATCTCAAAGCTCAAACAGCGGCTCGCGCGGAGGACCGATAGCGAAATTGCTTCTCCGGCGAGCTGGCGTCATTATATATATATATATACACAAATATATATATAAATATAAATATATACATTTATACGATTCTTTATATGCACTGTACCCTCCTAATAATTAATTACTTAAAGAAAACGATGTTCTATGCGTTTGTACGAGATGTGTGATTGTCTACAGGCGAACGATCATCGCGGGGGCCCCCTCCGCGGTTCCTCCAGTCTCGAAGTGTCGCGTGCCGATCGGGTCTCTCTAATTTACCCGTTCCCCGCCTCCGCCCGCGCACACCCCGGGCACCGAGATATATCAGTGAAAAAACAGTCAATTAATCTGATACGATCCGCCATGTTGAGCACGCACACCGTCCCGGGGGGTCGGTTGGGGTCAGCCGAGAACGAAAAGAGAGCGTCACGCTTCGAGACTCCGGAACAGAAACGGGGCCCCTGGAACGTTTTTTTTTTTCTTTTTTCTAGGTGTAATCGAATCGAAACCGTATTATCGTCGCACGAAATACTGCGCATACTGTCTGTATTTATGAGTCCGATGACGACGACGAGCCCAACAGAGCTGTCTTCCCAATAGCACCGAGCCGCGGAGGAGGACGATGGCGACCGCGACAAAAAACCTCCGCCTCTCTCTTTCTCACTTCGTTCTTTTCTCACTTCGCCCCTTGTGTTTTTGTACGCGCTCGTTGTTAACACAGCCCAGGGTGTCTGTTCCGCCGCGGACGAACCACGACGCGATGAAACGCGTTTTTCATCACCGACGAAGCGCGCGGAGAACGATGATATAACGAAACTGTGTCGATTTGAAACACGATTAATACACGATGGCGACACCGCGATCGTGATGCAAGCGGCCATATTGTTACTGTCTCGAGGATCCACGCATTTCGTAATTTTTTTTCTTTTCTTTTCTTTTGGCGTATTTTACGCGCACCTCGATAATAAAGCTGATGATACGTTTCTTCCGAAATTCCATCCCGTTTGTGTGTGTGTTTGTTTTTCATTTCGTTCTCTGCGGCAATTGGAAGGAGGAGGAGAAGGAGGAGGAGAGAGAAAAGCTCCTGGCGATGCACCCTCGCGTGTTCAGCCGAGTCGGTTGACGGCGTCCGAGACGTTGCGCGCGAGACAAAGACTTTTTCCGGTGATGATTTTACACAGCATTTATAGTCTATTTTCGACCGTTGACACAACAACGATTCTCTGTCCTGATCACCACCCCCCCCCCCCCCGAACGCGCCTTTGTATATTTACAACCCTTCCCGCGAGATTGCTCGGATGCTCGGATGCCCGGAACCGCCCGCGGAAGCATTGCGATTCTTTCGGAACGCACAGCTTTCTCCTTCTTTTTTTTTTCATTTCTCTCGAATGGTAATCTACGAATCAACGCCGTCGTTCAAGTTACCAACACGAAAGGGCTTCCCCGATCCGCGAACGAATAAACCACGAACACCGTTAATCGTGCACTTCCACGTTCGATCGGCCGGATCGTGATTAGGTACTTACTCGCTTAATCGAATCGGTTCTTCCCCGGGGCTAACGATGCCGGCGATTAGTCGAGAGAGCCTAAAATATATTTATAACGTAATTATCCGCAGAAACCACCCATAGCGAATAGTGTAATGAAAGTAATCGAGTATCGAAAATGTTACGCCGCCACGTTTATATGATATACATGTAACAATAGCGTAAGATGTATTAATTATGGTGAACACATAGGATGCATGTAATTAAATAACGATGATGGACTGGGTCCTGTGCTGACGAAACCATTCCTTTTGTCAGCACGGCGATCCACGCGACTTTATACAAAATATGATATTTATATAAAGAGCAATCCACTTTATATAAATATAATATAAATATATATATATATAAAATATATATATAAATATAAATATACATGAACGTAATGTAATATTTATGCACAGAATGACCAATTTTCATCTGGTGCCAATAGTCTTCGGGCGTAACATGGTCCACTGACGAATTATTTAATACTGAACGGAAGCTGAGCGGATTAAAATTGATCATGCTGTGAATAGCGAATCCAATATGGCGCTCAGTACGCGAATATACTCGATGCTCGTGATGGATATTCTGTTTACAGACGATTCTCTGTTCCATTTTCTTTCTTACTTCTCCGACTTCTTCTTCTTCTTCGTCTTGTTTATCATTTCCTTCTTCTTCTTTCTGTGCCCTACATACTTGATCTACTACAACAGTAAGAGTTATCTCCTTTTTTTTTTGTTCTTAACATAATCCGTTATCGTTTGACGCGTATAATAATAATATGTGATACACGAAGAAACGAGCGAGCCGGGAATATTCTCGGTGGTACCGACTGTATGGAAGTAGGCTAGTTTTTTGACAGTACGTGCTAGTATAAAGTGTCCTTTTATATGAATAAACGATTTTGTATGTCAAGCCTGCATGTATCCTTTCTACATCCTGTTCCTCCGTCGTTGCGTAAACGAATATATAGGTTGAAATTGTTATTCGATGCGACAAATAAAATTGTCTTCGATTTCTTTATTATTTTAATTGTATACGCGAATTAATAGTATTGCTGCGTCTATATAAGCTAAATTCATTTGGATAAGTTACAGCCCTTGGAGATTAGGGATTATATAAAATATATTTCGGTAATTAGAGAATCCATTGGAGAATATTATTACAGGATCCTGTAATAGTTCTGCAGAGTTTCGATTTCTACTCGGTTAACTTCTCCTTAAGTTTTAATCAATATCATGGTCTCGCAATTATTTTCACCGGAACAATGTATTATGTCGTCGTCCAAAAATGGGAACGCAGAAGCCCCATTACCATTCCCGTGTCGGACTCATCGTAACCGATATTTGAGAAGCTTTTTTAGCGAGGATACTACAGCACAAGTTAATTGAGGAGCTTTTATTTACGGCAGGAATCACAATAAATGGGCTTTTATGGTCTAATGTGGATGCAGAAAATTCCCCTGAAGAGAGAGAGAGAGAGAGAGAGAGAGAGAATTCTGTACCCACAAACCATTCTCTTAGCTCTGCAATTATTATATTTGAAACACACATGTTCGTTTTTCATTGCTTACCTTAAAATACAATTATTGAACAATTAAGACAAAGTTACGAAATTAATTAAGCACTTTTATTTTGTAACGTTAAAGGAAAATTCAGTTCTAGGCGTTGTCCCTCACATCATTAATTCGCCTAGTATCTTATAATTTATTTTCGTCGAAGTCGATCGTTTCCCAGAAACTCTTTTCCGCAAAGTCGAAACTGGCTTCCATGCCGCTCACAAGTAACGGATTCTTTATGTTCAAATAATTAAATGATACATCACGAGGATCCACTTGCTTCCATTTAGAAAGTCCAATCTTCGGTACGCTAAAATGTTCATATCAATATGTGAACAACTAGTTGAAAAGCGTGAAGTACATATGATTTTTTTAGAATAATTCTTTGATCTCGATTTTTTTTATCTTGGAGTGTCTCTTCAATGAATTAATCGAACTCGTTGAAGAATTAATTGAATTAATATTAAAAGAAAATGACTCTAAGTATTATCCAGTTCCTGGACATTCCTATTAAAAAGTTTGCGTAGCACAAAAACGGACAAGTAAATTATTTGGAATTTTACGTACCCCAATATGGCAAATGAAGTATATAATTCAAATATCTTGGCTTGCATCGTTTTATCCTTTAATTGAAGCAGCTTTATATCCGACAGTACAGGATCGAGGATGAGGCCAATATCGTCACCCGGGGTGACACCTAATCAGAAAAAGTAAGCTCACTGAAATTAATTGTGAATACACAGGCGAATATTGTACACGACAAATATCTATGAATTTACCCTCCCCTATCCATGGAATGGCCCCCATTTAATATCCGATGAAATTTTCAGAACATATATAACATACAAATCTACAAAACAGCAATGTAAAAAAACAGCTTTCAATATTTTTACCGCTAGTTACAATTTTTCCAAATTTCACTCGCACGTCTAGCAAACAAATTCCTTTAACTTCTAATATAATTATAGTCATCATTTTTTAGGAAATTATTCTCGTTCAAGGAGAGCTCGAATAATTAATGGGAGCCATTGTTGAACCATTTAAAAATGATATAAACCCTAAAAGTCTGCCAGCAGACAACGATCCCGAATTAATCATTCTGCTTCCATAATAGTTAACGAATATTTGTGAAATAAGTACCGAAGTTTTTATTCGAGTGGCTAATCAACTCGCTTCCGCTGTGAGTGGCTCTGTACGAGTAATAGTAGGTCCAGACTGGGCTCTTATTCACTTTGGCTTGCAACCTGGCAGCTTTCTCGAAGTTGACCGCGGACAACCTGTCGCCGATCAATTGAATCAAAGGCTCCACGGTTTGGCTAGAGATCTGTTTCGATCCTAGATAATGTTGCCGGATCTTTAACGCCACTTCTTTCTGCTGACTGGGCGGCAAGGTATCGTTGTAATCGAGCAGATACGGTGCGATATCTTGCCAGTTGTCATTCAACTGCTTCAACAAAACGTCATTCGCCACAAATTCTGCGAAAACAAGATTCATTCTCTACGTAAAATGCGAGATAAGATTGCGAATTTCGTCACGAAGCTTAATTTACCTGCTGCAGGATATAAGCCCTCCCCGGAAGTGATACTGGCGATCCACGGTACGTCCAACAGGTCGCCTCTAGTCATGATTTCGATGGGAGTAGCGTTGATGAAGGGATGTTGACACTTTTGTTTCTCAACGACTGGGCCGAAGGGTACGAACGGATTATGTAACCAAAGCTTTAGTTTGAAAAATACATTCGAATTATTAATTCTGATCGAATATTTCAATTCTATCATCAAATCTCAATTGAATTATCTTGTTTCATTTCTATGTTTATATTTCTTGAAATTATCTACAGATCTAAACGAGTCACACTATGAAATATATCGTAGAAAAGTAACTGTTTCTCTTTACACTAGAATCAATATTTTGCTCTATCAATTGCTGAAAAATATATCTGTTTTTTTTTAATAATTTCTTGTCATGCTTGTTCACAAGGAAATTCGTAGCAGAAATGTATAAAATGATGTGGTGTACGGAAAATAAAATAATGACTACATTTTTATCAACTTTACCCATATTTCGGCAACAGTTTTCAATATAAGTTCCACTGATCGTTTGCGCAAGCACTTCACAAGACAGTGTGACGATTCCGTGGAACAATTTAGTAGAGCACCCAAGCGTAGAGCCTTTTCTCGCGCATGTTCAGTTTGCGACCAGGAATCTAGTGCAACACCACTTATCGATATTCCTCCTGCGCGATAAAGATACGAGAGTTTATTTCGGAATTATTATGAACCTCTTGGCGAATATTGCAACAACGTACTGTGGAATAGTCCGGCACTGAGGGGCGACATATAATGATAGTGGACACTCGCAGCTCCAGAATTCAAGCCAAAGATAGTGACACTTTTGGGATTACCGCCGAAGAATGCAATATTGTCCGACACCCACAGCAGTGCCATACTTTGATCCTTGAGTCCCATATTTCCGGGCACCACGTAATCGCCGGTGCTAAGGAATCCTTAACAAAATTTATCATTTTTTAGAGACAAATAAGTTAATAATAATAAAGATACTTCGACTTCACGATACTGTGAAAATGTTAGATTGCACGAACGTCGGAAGATTAATAAAAAGAATCATGTATATCCTAGATGCTTACCGAGTGGTCCCACACGGTAGTTGACAACGACCAAAGCTATGTTTGCCTTCATTAGAAGACTCTCGTCCACTTCGTTACCACTGGAATAGACCCCGCCTTGGAACCATACCATCACCGGCAGTATCGGCTTTGTAATTAATTGAGGCCGCACATAAACGTTTAGGTATAAGCAGTCCTCTTTACCGACAACCTGATACCCATTTTCTGTCCAGCGATTTTGCACGCAATCGGCAGCCTTCTGCGTGGCGTTCAATTCCAGCCGCCATCTTTTCGCCGGTTTAGGGGGCTGTTAAGTATATTAATAATACCGATAAAACACCATTATGATCGAATAAAACGGGGAAAGTAGTGGATGAAAGTACTCCACATTAAAGCTCGCGGTTAAATTTGCAACATTTGTCAACTGGAAATACTTTTGTTCGCGAATGACATTAATTTACGAAATACTTCGTTTACGTACCCGAAATCGAAGTTTCTTGACAGGGGGTCGCGCGTAAGGGATGCCCTCGTAAGCATTGTAGCCGGATTTACGGTAGCCTACCACTGGACCTGATATCGTGCTAACTCTCAATAGGTCTATTGTTTGCACAGACCAATCTACGAAGCCAAGCAACAATAATATAAGTGATAACTTCATCGTGGCTATGTTAGCACTAAAAGAGACTGCCATTACTCGCCTGTCTTTTATAGCCATTCTTGAAGCACCTGTGTCGGTGTTCGCATGAACAAACAATATGCATCACTCAATGTTACAGGCGAAACTGTTAAATCATCGAAGAAAAAAGAAATTCCACGAAAATAATGACACTAAACGGTGACATCGTTTAGCTTGGTCAACACAATGTATTGCAAAATACGCGATCTTATCTTATAATTTATTATCGAGCAAACAACGGTGAAATGCAATAGCATTTAGGATATTAAGGTATCAAATTTGGTCATGGATTGCGCATTGCAATTTTTCTTATGTAAGTTTATGATCGTTACAGGTGGAAGAGAGAAACGACATTTCGCTATATCATTATTCGAGGCAGCTACTGAATTCCTGATAATAGAAATGTTTGCCTATTTTATTGAATGCATTGAGAATAATAATTTTATTAACTTGAATCTAAGAATTTTCATAATGATTCCTGTTGGCACGAAAATGTGTTTGAACAGGAATTTCAATATTGCATATTTATCAAATGTGCTCCGAACATTTTGTATATTTTTAGATAGTCACACAGATTCATTGGCAGAGTGGAATGTTTCTATCGTAGAAAGTACAAGAGTATTTACTAAGGTGACTCTTATCTACTCTTCATGAATTATTTTTAAAATCTTTTTGCCATACCTCCTTCAGAATGGTTTCAATGAATAGCAAAATAATCTGTGGAAACTTTGAACTCGATCGAATAACGGAAAAATGTGTATTTGAAAGCTTATACACATTTATTTAATCTTTATTGATCAGAAATAATCGAAACACTTTAATATCCAAAATTGAGGACAATATTTTTCATTTTCTTCATGCTTTCTAATAATTTTTCTGTAAAATTTTTCGATGTGCGTGGAAAGTATGTAATAGGACATAAAAGACGCAATCTGTCCAAGTTTTCTATAACACATTTTTTGACATAATCAATCATTCAAAAGATATTCTAGAAAATCGATTTTATGAGCATTTAATTAATTATTTTAATGTGAACGAGCTTCGGGGAAATGGTTTCCCATTATCTGATCGAGCTCAAATTTTATACAAATTATTTTTCTATTAATCAGTACCGCCAAGGAGAATACCGCCAAAAAATTCAATTCACAAGTGTTATACGGCGTGTTGATGATTCTAGATGACGCCACTAGTCGCCTACACAACATCATCAAATAATAGTACATAACCTAAACTGTCAAATTGCACGCACCTACATCGAGCAGCGTCGTTTTATTGTACAGTAAACTTAATTTAACTGTAATTTCCTCGATGTAATGCATTGACAAAAAGAATAGGTATGTGTGCGGGAATATAATTGAATATCTAAAGAGAAGAACTTTGAAATTAATATTAGAATTAAACGAAACACAGAATTATCAGTTCATCTTAAACACTTTTAGTTTTGTTACAGATAAAATATTATTGTTTTTGCAAGAAAAACTGAATTATGTTTGAGTTACCAATAGAATTAACGACTAAGCCATTGGCTCTTATTGGTTTAACTGGTTTAGATATTGCAAATCCAGTGCATCGTTCTATCTGGGATGCATTTAGTAATAATCGCAGATTAGAAAATACTGTGATTCAATTTAAATTGCTAAGCCCTGCACATCAATTCCCCAGAGTCAAACCCAAGGTAAATGTCATTCAATATAATTGACATAAGTTGAAAGAGCAAATATATTAATTAACCGTATATTGCAGCGTAATTTATATGAATGGTACAAACCGAAAGGAATATTGAAGCGTAATTGGATGAATAAATACCTTAATGAAATTCCAGCCGTAGTTGTTGTATTTTATGATTTAGATTGGAATGATCCACAATGGAATGATAAGAAATTAGAGTGTGCATCCAAAGTACAAACACTTAGGTAGTAATCATATTGATTACAATAATGTCCTTCTTATGCAATAGTAGTATACAATTATCTGTAATTATCAGGAACGCTTTGGAAGGTAGAAACACAAAAATAGCTGTGGTACTTATACAACAATGTACCCAGCCTCCTCCAGGTTCTGAAGATGCTTTGGCTACTGAGAGAGCTACAGCTGTTTGTGGTGCATGCGAGCTACCACCAAAATTATTATACATTCTACCACATGGAAATCATTTATTAGGCTACACATCTAGGTGATTAATAAGTTAATTTTTCAGTTACTTTATTATATGATGTTTACTTAAGTGTTTATACTTGCAGATTGGAGAATGCATTGTTTGATCTAGCACAAAATTTTTATCATCACGAGTATAAAACTGTCAAAGGACATAGAGATCAACTTGATAAAACTGTACACCAACATCTCTTTGTACGTCACCACTTCAAGATGGCATTCTTAAATGAACTCAAGCAAGATCAAACTTTAGCAAAGAAGTAAGTGTTAATAGATGTCAGTATATAGATCCTTTGTAATTGAAAATTAAAATTTCTGCATAGGCACTATGAGCAAGCATATACTAATTTGTCTGAAATAAAACTGAAAGATGCAAATGCATTGGAAGTTAAAATTGTTGCTTGGTTTATCAACTACAAACTATGTAAAATATTATTTAATTTAAATATTGCTAAAGAAGCGATAGCACAGTTTAAACATCACACAGACAGGTAAGCATTCAAAGTTTTAATTCAAATATAGTAATTAATTCGCACTGTAACACAGATAAATATTGTAATACAGATTCAAACTGATGACTGGTCCAAAAGAACTTATATTTGAACATCATGCATGGATGTGTAGTCAGTTCTCTACATTTGCCGAGTTATTTGATGAAGCTATTCATCAGGGACTTCCAGCTCTCCAAATCCAGCACCCTGGGTATTATTTTCAATTAGCAGCTCAACATGCAAGCTTTAGACAAGCAGCTTGTAAAGAACTATGTCAAGTATGTAAAGTATTATAATTCACACATATTTATATAAAAGCTTTAAATGCCTCTTGCTTATATGTACATATATGTCTTTTAGAATATTAACAGTTACCCAGATCCAGATCCACTGCTTGGAGAAGACAAACTGGAGTTTTATGGACAACGTCCATGGCGTCCAGAAAAATTAAGTGCAGAACCTGCAGACTCTGCAAAAGAAACAATTGCTGTACAGGCTTTACAGTACAAAGAAAAATTAGTAGATCATTCGGTAAGACATTCTTATATTATTTATTATGTTTTAAATTTGATTAGGCATATGTATAATCAGTATTTCACTTTCAGAAAGTAATTATTGCTCTGTTAGGAAATGCAATTTCCCAATTCAAAGTGTATAGATGTCCAAGAATGAGGAGGGTACTAGGTAAAGTATATTCATTTAAAAATTTTAATCTGGTAAACTGCATATAGCATTATGATCTTGTTTCAGTGGTACAAATGGCTGAAGAGTATTATAATTCGAAGGATTATGGGAAAGTACTCACGTAAGTTGGAGTTGGGCTATTACTACATTCATCGAAAAGCTATAAACCAAAATTATTTGGAAACCACCTACAAGACTTTATATCACTCATAAGTCAAAATTGATTGATCCTAACATTATTCCCTCTAGACTATTTTCATAACTTAACATCAAAATCATAAAATTTGATTGGCCAGATTGTTGATGCACATGTTGTGGGAATATCACGGGGAACGATGGCCCGTCTTAATTACAAATATCTTAAAGAATGCGTTGAGAGCGGCGTATCTTTCCACGAGCATTCAAGACTACATCACATTAGCATTTGAAGCATTGGGACCCTCCACTACGTTCTCGGAAGATTACAAAGCTGCAGTGTACAATAACGTCATAAATATACTTAATGTAAGATAAGCTTACAGATGAACATCGTTGCATACAGTAGCCTATAATTAATTAAATTATTTCTCGGAAACGATAGAAGAAACCTCCGAATCCAGAACCTAATTTACCCGATGATGTGAAACTTCCAGCATTGGAAAAGTGGAAAACTGAGTTCAACAAAGCAGAACCAATTGTATTTACAATCGATGATAATAATATGAGTTCATTTGTGGAAGTTAAAGCACGATTCTTGCAACCAAAATATGCTGTTAACTCCGTAGTTAGCGTAGAAGTCATAATCAGGTAACTGATCTATAAATCATGTTCGTGCAAATATTATAAATTTAAACATTTAATTTAATAAGATTTCTCTTTCAGGAATTTGTACTGTGGTACTATAGAATTTTCTAAAGTATCAATAACAATTGGTAACCCCGGATACTCGTCAGAACTTACTATCACCGATGCTGAAAACAGTAATCTTACTTTTAATGGAAAAGAGATGAAGAAACTTCTTTATCAATTTCAAGCACCGAAAACTACTAATGGAAGTGAAATACGCATCACTACTATTTCATTATATATGGGCAACGATACAGTTTGTTGTATTGCTCTGAGGTTCTCTGCTGTTGGAAGGGAAACAAATTTTTTGAGTCGTCTATATCCCGAAATACAGCAGCTCCGGTACGATTGAACCAAAACATTTCTATGTGCATATCATTTTAAAAATCTGACACATTTCATATTTATAACAGCAGAGGAGAATTTGAACTTATACAACCACTAGTCACTGCAGAAATTAAACAAGAAGAATCTAGTCTAAATATAAGTGCAGAATCCAGCAGTCCAGCACTTTTAGGAGAATGGTTTCCTATTAAAATATTTGTTACTGCTAATGAAAATTTATCATCCGCATTATTAAATGTGTCGCTCGTATCTGATGGAGCAATTGAACAATCAAGTACGTTGATGACGATATAACATAAATATTATGTAATTCTAATTAGACCTTATTAATTTTATTCAATTTATAGCGGAATTAAGTTTAACAATGCTTAACAAACAATCACTTATATCAATACCAATCGGAGACCTAGAAAAAAATTGTAGTTCGAATGAAACAGTATACTTAAGAGCACACAAAGTTGGCGATAGAAATATTCACATAAAGGTAAACATTCGTTAAAAAACATTTTCATGTAAATCCATATAATATATAATTTCATAATTACAGGTTGTTTATTCAAAATGTGAAGAAATAAAAGGAGCTAAAGAATTAACGTATTCGCTATCAGTCACGAAACCGTTTGAAGTGTCAACATTATTTTATACAAGTTTGTTTGAACCAATGACGAAAGGTTTCATTAATGAACCTTTTATAATAATGCCTCACATATCCTGCGTTTCTCCGTGGCCAATAAACATTATTAGTACTTCTATAGAACTAGTAAATAATATTTGTATATTATACTGTTGCTTAAAACTTCCATTTCATGTTATTGTAAAACGTATTATTATGCAGGGTGATTCCATAGCAAGAGAGAGTGCAGACCAATCAGTATCCATTTTAGCTGGGATCACATTGACTGAGGGCGAAACGGGAACAGATTCGTACTGTCTGATACCAAAAACCGGAAGTGAACAACCTACCAGTACTGGAGTATACACAATTAAATGGAAACGGTACAAAATTATTGTATGAACTGTATTAGGGTAAAACATTTTACTAATATTAAATACGTTTTAGTGCTAACGATGAAAATGCGTTAGAAACTAGTAGCAGTGTAACCTTAGCACCTTTATGGGTTGAAGATGCAGTAATTGGTTTAGAAGCTAAACTACCACCTCATGGTTGGGTACGAACGCCGCTGCTTGTATCATATTTTATCAAAAATCATTCTGATTACATGATTAAATTACGATTGATCATGGAAGCTAGTGACGCGTTTATGTTTGCTGGCCAGAAACAAGTACGTAATTTTATAAAAATACAATATATATGTATGTATGTATGTATAGTAACTAATCATATGATTAACGTTAGGTGGATATTTACATACTTCCCAAAAATGAAAGAAAGGTTGAGTGGATTCTTCGTCCTCTTGTAGCTGGTTTTGTACAACTTCCAACTCTGTTCTTGACCGTTCCTTCAGGTAATATTTTTACAGCATGTTGTATGCTTATTGCTCGAATATCAAATGTTTCTTTTCTTTTCGTATGTTTTATAGATGAGGAACACAAAGTAAGTAAAGCACGCATTTCGGAAGTGATCGAGCGATCGATACCAAGTCACATATACATTCTGGTAAGTACATTAAGTCTGTTCTATATCCCAAATCAAAATTGAACGTTTAATTTAGACATTCTGTTATAGCCAACATCTCAAACTTTAGAAGAATGAATGAACCAATAAGGAGGGTTTGAAAAAAAAAACAAAATTTTATGACCATCCAGTAAAATGTATTATTGAAACGTAGATACATTTTTAACATACTCGGAGATATAAGAACATTTCATATTTAAGATTATGAATATCAGTCTACTGAATATAATTTATTTAAGTTACATGAGAGTGTAATAAAAATTCCTTCATCCTTGAAATTACACGTGTGTGTTGCATATGCGAATGCTCGGTCATTCGATGCGGGCGTCGATATTGATTGTTGCCACGAATACAATATGTATTTCTATAGAAACCAGGTACGACGTACACAGAGAATTAAGTAAGTCTCATACCATCATTTCAGATACAAAAGAGCTTTATTTCGTCGCTGTATTTGTCTTGATTGTTTATCGCTTGGTAAATAAATAATTTGATAAACGTTGAGAGGACACACAATCGGACGCAGCTGACGAATTAATTCGTCCATTCTGGTTAACGACGGTTTCACAGTATCGATTGATCCGTCGCCTGAGGAACATGAAAAGCGCAAAACAGTAAGCAACGGAAATCTCGGTCCCAATTTATACACATATATGCAATATGTAACTTACAATGCATTTTAAAGTGCATTTTCCAAATTATTCACGCCAATGTAGGATTAAAAGTTATGCATAAGTAAAATAGGACAGTTATATAAACGTCTTAAATACTAACGATGACGATGCAGGCCGATAATGTCCATGCACGTAAGGTTTCTTCGGAGAAACTGCAACACGAAAAACATTTGGAACAAGTTCTGACGCCCATTTTCCGCATAAACTCGGAGGAATCCTTGACACGTAATCACAAATTCTTAAAGGTACAGTATCGCTAAACAACGTTCGTTGAACACAGTTTCGGAACGTCTTATGGTGGACTAATTGTGGATGACGTGGTCAGCAAGAGCATGGGCTTTTTCTTATTAGATGAAATTAAATCGTAACAAGAGTGTCATTGAAGAGAGGTATGTTAAATTAAAATCAATATTTTATGAACAGGACCTGGAACTTGCAAAAGCGCGGTTGAGGACTTACGCAGCTTATACACCAACGGATCGAGAATTAGAGCAACGCGCAGTAGAATATAGAAAACACCTCCAGAAACAGAATCGAAGATCGGATTTTTCGTAACAGCGTGTCAATGGCATCTCGGAGAGTGAAGTACGTTCTTCCTCGATCTGATAACTCGAGCCGAACGAACAAACTTTCAAGTGAAAAGTTTATTGATCGTTGGGATCGATCGATCAGACCGACAACTAAAACGGCGAGGCTGAACTGGCGACGAAAGGAGGAAGAACCTGTAAATTAAATATTACACAGAGGCAATTTGAAGCAGATGGTACCGTGATCCCGAAATCACGCTATCTTGGTCGTTATGTAATTTCGTATTACAAAAAAAGATTGGTTACTTACGATACGGTGAAACAATGCAGCAGTGAACAAAATTTTTTTACAACACAAGGAGCCGATTCGTTCCACCAAGAATGCGAAAGGAGAACACGTTGACAACTGCAAACGGTATTCACCTGGCGGAATGGAATATTCAAGTTCGTTTTCTACGTGCGACAGTATTATCGTCGCTCGTAATTACTGACACGCAGAACGTGTATGTACGATAGGATAAGTTCGTTTCAGGAGTTGCCTGATAACAACCTAAACCAATAATTCGACAAAAAGCCCCGTGTAATATCGTCGCGTTAAATTCCATCCACGAATACAAGCGAAAAAAAAGTTCAGATTTCGACTTTTACCAGATCATCGGAACGTGTTACTATTATTATTCGCATATAATATTACGATAACATTGAATTGAGACATTCAAAGATATGCACTATCGCACGAAAGTTACCGATATTTACTTTGTCGAGTTGCCTTGAATACTGATTATCTACAAAATGTTTTAACCTGCCGGTTGCTACTCGATCTTCTTTTACTGGCTGCTCGATAAGGCATAAACACGCGTTCTATATGTATTTTTCTCCTTGATCGTTCTATACCGATCAAAAATTTAGAAAGAACTGACACGTAATAACTGGAACGGATCAAGTCTTAGTACATAGTTTTATTTTATTTCTACGTGGCATCGTTACTGGCAACTGAGTAAACTAGTCAAGAAATTGTTCGGTACGAGCATTGTACACTACATGAAACATCTGTATCAACAGCTTCTTTATCTCTGCCATACATCGTTTCTTTTGTAACTCTGTCTCGATGGCAACACAGTGTTTCATAACACCTGAACACGTTACAATCCGTAACTGGATTTTTAACGGATAAAATTAAACCACCAATTAATTCTTTCTCATAATTCTTTTATTTATTTTAATAAATTACAATAGGTATATCTATAAATACACGTGGAACCCGCCATGGAACATTCTTCTTATTTCGTTTCTTTTAAAAAATAGTTTAAGGGAATTTTAACATACAAAAGGAACGTAATGATAGCGAATATCGCTTCAAAGTTTTTTTTATCATCGTGTTGTCTATGGAAGCATAAACTGGTAAAATTTTCCGCTGCGCATTATTGATGTATTAATACATTATCGTTATGACCAGCTAAACGCAATGTCCATTAAAAAAAGAAGTAGTGCATCATTCGTCTCAGTAAAGACAACCTTCGGTGTCTTTGTATGGAATTATATTTATTACCATTGAGTTTATTTTTAACTCCTGACGCACAGTCAAACAAATAGAAGCAGCGCAAATTAAATTTTATCTAAAACCAGTAATGCTATTTTTCTTTTTCAACGGAACATTGACGGAAACGAAAACGTGGACAGTTTTCGTATATCCTTAAAAAATATGATCCATTATTTAGTTGCTACTTCTAATAAATATTATACTTTCAATAAATAATGTTTGTGCGTGTATATTTATCTACCAAATATACCGATACAAAACGCTACAATTTATCTAAATTAAATCCATCTGGTATAAACCATCCAAAATTTGAAGACAACATAAAGAAGACTATTAGAATTGACATCTAATTCATTCATACTCTAATGTAAATTGGAACGTATGAATTAGTATTGTGTAATTAATATAACTTTCACGTAACTAATTTGTTAATTAACCAACTATAATCCAGTTTTATAGTTTATTTTCTAAACTGTTTCGTCATTAAGTACGTAGAAAGTTGCTGATGATTGGTGCAACTCTTTCAGGATTGTTTAAGTGAACGTGATGAGTTCCTTCAACTTCGTGATATTCAAATTTTGTGGAACCTACTTTTATTTTATCTAAGGTCAATTTGTAATCATCTGGATTATCATATTTCAATCCTTTCGAAGCACGAATGTTGAGATAAGCACATTTTATTCTGCCTGCATATGCAAGCACAAATTCCAAATTATCTGGCATGCCCAATCCAGCAATCTAAACGATTGGATGTATATATTATTGTACATAATATTCTATGGATTTTACTGAAGTAGCTCCAAAATAATTACACATCTATTACCTTCAATCGTGTGTCCCGTGAAAAGCAGTACCGCTGGGAATCATATGTGGGACGCACACCACGTTTCATTAATACTGTTGCACTTTCTTTGCTTACAGAACCATGATAAGCATCCTCTACTAAATCAAGTGCTTCATCGTATGTATAGGATGGAACATGTTCATTATCATGTTTCTCATAAGTTAAAAACTTATCAACTATAGCACCAGTCATAGCAGCAGTTTTTGTTGAGTTTTTTACAGTAGGACCTGCAATGTCTATACTAATGACAAACTCCACATCATCGGGAAATGATGCAGCATATAAGAAAGCTATTGCTCCTCCCAAGGAATGTCCAAGTAATTTTATCTGGGAAAAGTAATAAATAATTAACTAGATATTTGTTCATAATAATAACTACTATGCATGCATATGCATACTACATATTAGAACTAGTACTTTTGTTTCATGTAATAAAATGATATAAAAGAAGTTAACTAGTAATCAAAGGATAACTAACAAATTATAGAGCAATAGCATTAGACTAACCTTGTTCCATTTGAAATGTTTTACAATTCTACGGAGTAGAATTATACCATCCCAATAAAGATAATAGTACTGACTTTTTTGGTAATGAGAAGATAATCCATGTCCAGGCATATCCAGGCAAAGTACAGATATATCATGAGGTAACAAAGGAATTAAATTATCAAAACTCCCACAGTTGTCCTGCCATCCGTGTAATGCAACTATTGGTTCATGTTCCATTGATCCCCACAATCGGCCTGAATTTAGTATTATTGAATTGATTAAATTTTTTAAACCTTCTTAAAAGAATAGAACTTTTTTTCTATTATCTTGAGAGTTATAATAAGAAACTTAAAAATTAACTGACCACTTATGTGACCCCATGGCACAGGGATTGTAATTTCCTCAACGTCTGAAAATTGATTACACATTTCGTTAAAATTTTATCACAAAAGATTGCAATAATAATAGTGTTGGCTTACCTCGTTTATTTTGTCCATTTATACTGTCAGTAGAAGTAGTAGTTTTGTTAACTGTACTCATCTGGCTAGAAAAAGGATTAATGATTAATATCCTAATTAAGTACAAAGAACCTCCTTTGTATGTATTAGTAACACTCTTCTTTTTTAACTTGCAGTTCCAAACAATTTGTCTTTATTGAAAGTAACTATGTTTTCTCCAGTAAAGACTAAAATGAAATAGTGTACAATTCATTATATGAACAAAGTGCAATGTAAAAATACAAATCATCGTACCTTGCAAAGTATTTCTTTTATTACGTCACTGCTTTTTTAGAAAAGTATAGCCTTTTCAAGTACCATATACACGTGGAATACGTTCACGTTTATTTGATCGACAGTAAATTATACGTACATCGACAGCACGCGATGTTCAATTTATCATAAATCATAAATTCATTTATCGTAAAATCGAGTTGTAAGATTTTCTGTATATAGTACTCAAAATTATGTTATGAATCTTACTCAGCAGTACTGTTTATGTACTATCTATGCAAGGAATTCTTCCTTAGTTATTGATAACCAAATGATTCGATAATATTTCACTGACGATACATTTGAAAAAAGATCTGGCTATTTTTCAACGGTACACTCCAAAACATATAAACTAGAGAATGTGCAATTTTTCGCTTAACGGTACAAAATTGTGCTCTCAATTTATGGTTATCTCTAGCTTCGTCATCACGAGTGCGTAGCCTGTTACTGTTAGAGTATAACATGATATAAGCGTAAAAACGTATGGAAAAGAAAAAGAGAAAAACGGAAAAAATGAAGTTATCGCATTAAGTAATACAAATAAAATTGACAACTGAAAAATAAGTATATTTATTCAATTTTATATGTATATACATCGTCGTCCCAAATCTTATAGCTTAAGTTGTAAGATTATTTACAAGTATTTATTGTTATATTTACTCGTATAATAAGGTTTTGTGATTTATCATGGTACTAAAATTTTAATTTGAAACTTTTCTAGGTTGAAATTAAAATACGTGAATTGTTAAGTGACTGTAATTGTTATTCCTATTGCTAAAATGCAGAACAATGACTATATAGTAAAGACTGTAGTTCATGTTGGAACAAAAGCAATTAAGTTTGTACCTGGGACTAAAGTATGCATTACAGATGCAATAATTCTGATTTTCTATGCTATAATATCGCACAATGTTTTTATTTGTTATATTAATAATGTTTAAATTTTTAGGTTGTTTTCCACTTTAGAACAACAAAATGTGACCATGAAAAAACAGTAATCGATGACAGTAAAGTTATGGGTAGACCAATGGAGCTTATTTTAGGCAAGGAATTCATGTTAGAAGTATGGGAAGTTATTATACAAATGATGGCTTTAAAAGAAGTCGCATGCTTCAGGGTACATAAAAGCGTATGTATGGAATTGTACAACAATATCATATAACTGTAAATGAGTATTTTAACGATTTCTATTGATTTAGCTAGTCACAATATATCCTTTTGTGTCTAAGACATTGAGGGAAGTTGGAAAGACACAGTCAGAAAAACATACACATCATTGTTGTGGTGTAACTTTACAAAATGAAGGAATAGGATACGATGATTTGAATGAACTTATTAAATGCCCTCAAGATTTAGAATTTACGATTGGTAAATAATCTAAAATACATTCAAGCTATGAAAACAAAAATATCTGAAATTAATTATTTTATATTGTAGAACTTACCAATGTTATACTACCAGAAGAATATGAAAAGGAATCATGGCAAATGACAGAAGATGAAAAACTAAAAAGTATCCCAGAAATAAAAGAGAAAGGGAATATATTATTTAAGGAAAAAAACTATGAAGAAGCTTGCAATGTGTATGCTAAAGGAATTGGAATGTTGGAGCAACTTATGCTTGCGTTAGTATTTCATACGTATACACATGTTCAAGGCATGCATACTATTAATTGTTATATATAATTTATAGCGAGAAACCCAATGAAAAAGAATGGTTGGCTTTGAATGAATTAAAAATACCATTACTTTTGAACTACTCCCAATGTAAATTGATGCTGAAGGAGTATTATGCAGTTATAGAACATTGCACTACAATCCTTAAACATGATTCAGGTTTGTTAAATCTCTTTTCCTATGTGTATTCAAAGGTACTACATATACATATTATAGATACAGATATATTTTAAAATTATTAGATAATGTGAAAGCCTTGTACAGGCGAGGTAAAGCGTATATAGGAGCTTGGGATGAAGAAGGGGCTACCAGAGACTTAAGAAGGGCTGCAGAGTTAGATCCTACATTGGAAAATGTAGTTGACAAAGAACTGCAAGCATTTTCAGCAGTTCTTAAAGAAAAAGATTTAAATGAAAAAAAGAAGCTATCAAAATTGTTTCAATAGAAGGTATATGTATAAAAAACATGAAAAAAATCATGTCCAAGTATGATCAACAAATATCGTGAAAAATGCTGCATTAAATAGAAAACAGCGAACATAGACACGTTGGAAATACTATTCGACGGAACACCGTTGACTCCCCATAAAGATCTCAAAGCAATCTTCAAAAACAAAATTAAAATAGCGTGAAATTCGACATGGAAAAATACGTCTTTCAACAACAATACACCTGGTCTGAGATAGTATATTCGAAAAGAGTCCTGCAAATTCAACAAACAGGAAGAAGCAAGTAATACTAACGAGACTAAGAATCGGTCACAGCAATTGCATCCACGCTAATCTAATTAAAAAAGAAGAACCCAAGGAATGTGACACCTACAACACGAAAATTACTGTCATACACACACATCCTAATCTACTTCCCGAAATACCTAAGCAAAAGAAGGCAAAACAAACTCCCCAATGACCTCAAGAAAGCACACGATAAAACTAGTTATAAAACCTGTTATGAAATTCCTAAGCGACATTAATCTTATACTATCAATCTAGACTAGTACAATTAACACAATGTAATCATATACATTATGTACAATCTTATGCAGTCGCTGATAACCCGCAGAGATGGACGCGACTTTAAATAAGTCAGTATTTAAAAATTTAAATATGTTAACGCACAAAGATTTTCTTGCGTTTTAATATTTATTAGCAATTGTTATAAATTATTATCCAGATTCTTCATTTACATATATGTATAATATAAATGTGATATGTTTATATATTAACAATAAATAAAAATGGAATCTATATATTAATATCAATTCAAATTTTTAATGCTTTTAAACACATACCTATTAATCATTTAACTATGAATGAATAATTCAATTATACAAAATCCTCGAAAATATACAGCCTTTTAACTTTGCCAATAGGCTCTTATAATAGGTTGCATGACTCTAGGCGTCAACTTTTAATTGTAAAGCGACAAATCTCTCATTGCGGGAAACATTAACATCGTTCAGTGTGCTTTTGGTCTGTAAGTTTACGTATATGTACAGATGGTACAAGCGGGCAGTGGATGATTCTACTTGAAAAAACTGAATAAAACATGTAGAATAAAATTTTTCCATAAGAAGCATTGTTTTCGAGAAAATAAGTTTGAACATTTATCAAGTACACGTGCACTTGCTCCAGTTTCAGCTCGATAGATTTCACCGTAAATTACAACAAATAGACCACAATTATCAAAGTGCATACCTGCTTTTTATGAATTCGTTCAATTTACAAGTGATGTCCACGTTGTTGCAAGTATGACTGAGAACTTTTATTGGATTGCATCGAGCATTGTGGCGTAATCAATCGTGCGATCCATTCGTATTCAACAACACGACGCGCGCTCAAACAATTAGAAGCTTATCGCCTAAAATGGAAATTCGTGTCGTGACCCTGCAGTTTGACGTCAAGAAAAATGTTCTCACCAAGGATAATAATGTAATTCCTAGGGCCCCCTTGGAGCCTTTGGCGAGCTTTAGGCCACGTCAAGTGCCATTGAGAGCGGTACGACTAATTCGTCGTTTGCGAACTTCAGAAGTTTTCGCTATCGAAAACAACTTTAACAATTTAATTGACATCTCTTAAGAATTGAAAGCTAAATTTTTTCAAGTTCTTTTTATCAATATAAATTTTCCCATCACACAAATATCAAATCTTTGAATATTAGGAGAAAGAAAAAATAAGTTCTGGAGTCAAAAGTACTGCGTACCTATGATCTATAAAAATGAGTTACTGTGTGCTTCGATTACTGTACTCTATCCCTGAATACTGAGCTTCGAAAACTGTGTACGCTGATTTTCTCAGGGAAGTCATGCGATATTCTTCAGCCGAACCCCTGTTATAAAACAATAAATTAGTCAAAGAGATATTATAGATTTATAGGCTCTCAAAAATGGCATCACCCAATGGCCAAAATAAACATGGAGCTGGTGGCGCCCCTGAAAACATGCAGCCTTCGAACTTTGCTAACAGACTAGTATAGCAGGTAGTATGACTCCAGGTGTGAATTAAATTTAGTTGAGACTCGATAAATCTCTAGTTGTAGAAAACGTTAAGATCGTTCAATCTATTTTTGGATTGAATCTATGGTGTAATTTTCGAGAAAATCAATTTTGTAATTTCAATTTTTAGCCCTCTGGTGGTTAATTTCTGAATTTTAGGGTCGTTAGCATTTTACGCCATCTAAGAATCTGTTTCTAGAGATACATATAATGTACATAATTTGTTAATCGAGCCATGAATGGGACTGTCGATCGCCGGAAAAGTATCATGTTTGACATATGGCACAATTTATTTCACGTTGCTCCAATCAAACGTAAAACATGGAAAGTATGATTTCTTTAATGACGTACTTGTGCAATTATTTCTAAGGTAATTAGACAACCCTTGTCAATGACTAATACGTTAACCAGAACAGATTTCAACCTAACCTGCAATACCACAGGTTCTTAGGTCACATGTAACACGATTTGTAAAGATTGTTAAATAAATCTATATCCGATTTTGTATTTCGTTTCGTTTTACTAATCTCATGTACTAATGCTACTTTGAAACATGATACACGAGGTGAGGCATGACATTTGAAATCGTGGGTAACACTAATAGTTTTATTATTTTATGTTTGTTAACGTAACCCGATTAAAGTGCTATTGAAAAATTACATGCTTTAAATTTGTAGATATAATATATACGTGAATCGTATAAAATGAAGCTTGTATCAAAGTTTGTCGATAAAGAGGGAGAAGGGTGAGTGAACTACCGTTACATTGTGTGGTTCTTATAAAGGGTTATCGATATTTAATATGACACAAAAATTCCTAGGCATGTGTCCCTTGTCCCAGAAAACACAGAAGATATGTGGCATGCATACAATATCATTAGTGAAGGAGATTCTGTTAGTTGTTCCACGTTTAGGTATCATTCTTTGTTATTCCAACATACCGATTATTATAGAATTTAATCGAATCTAATATTATTTTATATTCTTTATAGGAAAGTGCAAACAGAGTCATCAACTGGCAGTTCCAATAGCTATAAAGTTAGAACTACTTTAACCATATGTGTAGAGAGCATTGATTTTGATACACAAGCCTGTGTTTTAAGACTGAAGGGTAGAAATGTAGAAGAAAATAAATATGTTAAGGTAAAGTGACCTAAATTGTATGATATACAGAGTATTGAAAAAAATTTAATGCGACTTTCACAGGATATTTTCTCTTAGTTTTAACACTAATTTAGATGCTTGATTTAAAAATAACGCTATGTATAAAAAAATGTGTACAATGTATAACAGTAATTTTTTATAGACAGGAGCATATCACACATTGGATGTAGAACAAAATCGAAAATTCACAATCATAAAAACTAATTGGGATTCCATTTCTTTGGAAAGAGTTAATACCGCGTGTGATCCTACACAGGTAAATTACGCTTATAGACATTCTAGTGAAAAACTTTTTTACAGATATTTAATGAAAAAATTATATGTTTCATCGCAGAATGCAGATGTTGCAGCTGTGGTAATGCAAGAAGGCATAGCTCATATTTGTTTGATAACTTCTAACATGACAATAGTGCGTGCTAAAATAGACCAAATCATACCTAGAAAAAGGAAAGGAAATGTCTCTCAACATGAAAAGGTTTTGTTGTATTGCATACTCGTATTGTACACTCTCTTATGCATGTATATTCAGTAGAAGATAATTGAAAAACTTCTAGGGTTTAATTCGATTTTACGAAAACGTTATGCAAGGAATTTTAAGACACATCAATTTTGATATTGTGAAATGCGTTATTCTTGCCAGTCCTGGGTTTGTAAAAGACCAATACATGGATTATATGATAGAACAAGCAATAAAAACGGACAACAAATTGATATTGGAAAACAAATCTAAATTTTTGCTTGTTCATGCTAGTTCAGGATTCAAACACTCTCTAAAAGGTAAAGTAATTGTTTTAAACAATCAGAACATGATATAGTAATACTTTTTACAATTTAATATAACAGAAGTATTAGCCGAAGCAGCAGTGATGTCTCGAATTTCTGATACAAAAGCAGCAGGTGAAGTAAAAGCTTTGGAAACATTTTTTATGATATTGCAGACTGATCCTTGCAGAGCATTTTATGGGAAAAAGCACGTGCAGAAAGCGAATGAAGCACAAGCTATTGAAACGTTACTCATTTCCGACAAATTATTTAGGTAAATGTGAAATATTTTAATTGAATTAAATTTGAATTTATTGAGATAAGTATGATTTTATTTACTGTTAATGATGCAGATGTCAAGATGTTGCTTTGAGAAAGGAATATGTTCAATTAGTGGAAGGTGTGAAAGACTCTAGTGGGGATGTAAAAATATTTTCAAGCTTACATATATCCGGTGAACGTAAGTTACATTTATGTAACGTTTAATGAGCGATAATTCTATGTCTTTTCGAGAACTCTTGCGACGTTTTTTTTTGTATTTAGAATTGGAACAAGTAACTGGAATAGCAGCAATACTCCGTTTTCCGATGCCAGAATTAGACGACGAGAGCGATGGCGAAAACGATTCGGAAGAAGATGAATAAGAGTTGAATAGAATATGCTAACGTGCAACTTTGTATATATTTGTGCTGTGCGCAATCAAAATATATTATTAATAAAAGTATAAATTAATTCTTATAAATGCAGTAGAATTCCAATTATCTGGCATGCTGGGAACCAATATAGTGCCGGATAATTGGACTACACCTCCATTTTCTTTATTATTATTTTGATTAAAACAGAAGTATTCTTTTTTTTACTGTAACTGTCGGGAACAATTTAAAATCTGTCGCAAACCATTTACTGCAACACACGTGGTGGCAAAACGCTCAAACTATTTGTCAAAATTATCTATAGGTGATAATGTAACTTATCCATTAGATGGCGTGGTTTTGAAGTTCTACATCTTTCAGACCTCTAGTTTGCTTCAGTCTGCTTTCTTGCTTTCTTTCAAAGAGCACGTGGAACATTAACAATTTATTCTTTCATGTTAATGTAGTTTTTTAAATATTGGACTGTGTTAAAACCACAACCAAAAATGGTGGTCATTGGAAAGAAAAAGGTATTTATCAGATTTACGAAGATTTCTTTTGCTATTTGATTGAATAAGGGAAAATGGATTGAGGTTATTTTGACACTGAATATATTTGGGCAATGATTAAAATCGTGTTTTGAAATTTGCAGTACCAGTCTGGAGAAGGAGCACAGTTTATGTCAAGGAGATCTGCTTTGAAGAAATTGCAGCTTACCTTGAATGATTTCCGTCGATTATGTATTTTGAAAGGTATATACCCAAGGGAGCCACGCAACCGTAAAAGAGCCCAGAAGGGTGAGCCTGGTATCAAGACATTGTATCACAAGAAGGATATTCAATTTTTAATGCATGAACCGATAATATGGAAAATGAGAGATTACAAGGTACTTTAAATTGATCCGTATGTATTTTAGTCAACACATAAAATTGTAAACATCTAATAAAATATTATTTATCTAGGTATTTCACAAAAAAGTGGCCAAAGCCAAAGCTCTGAGAGAATTTTCAGACATGAAGAGATACTTGAGCAATCATCCTACTTTGAAATTGGACCATATTGTTAAGGAACGTTATCCAACATTTATTGATGCTCTGAGAGATCTAGATGATTGTTTGACACTGTGTTTCTTATTCAGTACATTTCCATCTCTTAAACATATACCAAGAGATCAGTCTTTATTATGCAGGAGGTTAAGCATAGAATTTCTACATGCTGTAATTGCTGCTAAGGCTTTACGCAAAGTATTTGTATCCATAAAAGGATACTATTACCAAGCTGAAATTAAGGGGCAAACAATTACTTGGATAGTACCACATCATTTCTCATTTGAACCTCAAGCGAAGAACGAAGTTGACTTTAAAATCATGTCTATATTTGTAGAATTTTATATTATAATGTTAGGCTTTGTTAATTTTAGACTCTACCATACGCTTAACTTGTATTATCCACCAAAACTTACTAGCAGCGGTAAGATAACTTTTCTTACACTTTTGATACGTGTAACACTCGAATCTGATATTAACTTTCTATGCACAGAAAACAATGAAAAAGTTCTTGTAGACGAAGAGGTCTATGTAGCAGAAAGAATAAGTGCATTAAATGTACCATTGACAACTCTAGATCCGACTGTACAGAATGTAGAAGATGAAGAGTTGGACATAGACCAGTTTGCAACTGTAAGTATAAACGATGTTATAGTCATGTGTTAAAAAATTTCACTGTATTTTAACAATTTTCTCTTACAACAGGATGGCGATACCACGAAAGTGGAAGAAGCTAAAGTGGAAGCAGAGAAAATTAAAAAGTTAAAAACATTGTTCAAAGGTCTAAAAGTTTTTCTGAATAGAGAGGTACCAAGGGAGCCGTTAGTCTTTGTCTTACGTTGTTTCGGAGCCGATGTGTCTTGGGATAAATTACTGTTTGTTGGAGCAACATTTGACGAAACTGACGAGACAATAACTCACCACATAGTAGACAGACCTAGCATGACCAAACAGTATATTTCCAGGTGATTTATAGTTTCTTCATTTCATTACAATTGTTTTATTCAATTCGATATACTCGGTTAATCACTTTTATTTATACAGGTACTACGTGCAACCGCAATGGGTTTTCGATTCCCTTAATGCCAGAGAGTTGTTGCCCGTGGAAAAGTACTTAATGGGTTGTGTTCTTCCACCCCATCTTTCACCGTTCTCGAACAGTCGTCACGATCAAACGTACATTCCACCAGAGGCTCGCGCTCTCATGGACCATGACTTCAAACTAAACGATGGTACGTACTCTTCTAAAATAGTAGAAAAACAATCTGTAGAACTACCTTTTGTTACGCTAACGTTTGTTTTATTAAACAGGAGAAAGTACGTCCGAAGAAGATGACGATGACAAAGCAGATGTTGAGTCCGAGAATGAAGATCAAAAAGACGATGACGATGTAGAAAGTAAAGAAGAAGACGGTGACGAGGGAACGTCGGCGGCAGATGACAAGAAAGAACAAATTCGATTACAGAAGGTTAGCATCACCAGCAACACATATTGTTAATAATTAGGAATACGGCTTCATTGATTCCACACTTGCTAATTACAGAAAAAAGAAATGAAGGTGAAAGCCGGTACGGTAACGAAGGAAAATCCCTGGGAAAGGAATCGAGAGGAGAGGCAAGAATATCGACTCCGGGAACGAATGATCAAGAAGAAGCATCGTAATTTGTATAGAAGTATGATGAAGGGCCGCGAGGAGAGATCCAAGGAAATATGGTTGTTGCGGAAGAAGAGGCGCCTGCACGACCAAGCTGAGAAACAAAAGCGCAAGGAGGAACGCAAGCAGAAAAAAAATACATCTGCCTAATGGCCAAAATGATGACGAATTGTATTATTTAAACTATTTCACTGTATATACACGATTTGAACCAGTGTCTTTACAATTAAGACTTTCTTAAAGTCGATTGTCGGCACAAGACACAAATTCTCTACACGCATTGCAGTGACCTTCCGCCAATTGTCATATCTCTTTTACAAACTCCCTTCTAATCCTTGGATAGTGAAATCTGTTTCAATACGACACATTTTGACGGCTGCTGCTATGACGGAGTTGTGCAGGAAAAAGAGTCTGGAGGTAGCCGCCGCATATATTAAAACTATTTTTAAGAGTTCACGTACGTCACTCAAATTGGCGATGCATCAAAAAGGTTCCATTTTATGAAGAGAGAGAGAGAGGGAGGAAATAAAAATATACAAATATTTCATAAAATTGTCCTTTTGACTTTATAATCTGGTAAGAAAAATTGCGGTCCGATCCGTTGAACTTCCGGATGGAGGATAAGCGATGGAACGAGAGAAGATCTAAATCATTGAAGGCTTGATAGCGGAACGTGACGACTTTCTCGATGGTTGTAGGTACAGTTACGCGTAATGGAGAGATGCCTTTAATCCAGTCCTCCCACTTGCCGGAGGCCTACGCGTACGACGTGACGATCCTGGTCCCTACTTTTCCAGCGAAGGACTTTGAAGGCCAAGCTACCCACACACGTTGGCCTACGCAATCCACGCTCCCACGAAAATCAGTTCTCGCGGTGGTCTCCGGGTCGCTCGATAGCCTCGCTGCGACTAGAAAAGAGACAAAACGAGAGAAATGAAATCTGCGAGTGCGATCGATATCCTCGGTACGACCACCCCGAAGGTCGTGCATTGATCTCGGTCGATCCGATTGATCCGTACGGGCCTGCTCTTTATCGCGTGCTCGTCTCGGTTGTCCGATCGCTAACGCGTCTTTGATTAGCCCCCCTCCCCCCGGGCTTTCGCTAGACGAATTAACACCGAAGGACAAACCGATTTGACGGCAGATAAATTACCATCGATGCATCCGGCCGTTTTGCGTACTGTTCGCCGCGCGTCACCTTGAACACCGAACATCGGAATCGGATGCGAGCGGAAGACCGTTTATTATACTCCACTATCCCGACATTTCTGACCTCCTTTTGCCTTTGACCCCTGCGTGTCGTTGCTCTCGACGCATTGACCGATCCGATCCGCGACGATGCGTCGGCCATTGCGATACTACATTTGCGATCTCGACCATGCGCGAAATCGTTAAGTATCTACTTTCTTTCGTAGATTTTTCAATTTGCGTTTTTAAATGCGTTCTCTTATTGGCCCAGTATAAATATCTATGGTCTCTCGAGCCACGAATCTCTCGATCCCAAGTTATGTCACAGATATTCTCCCGGCTCAAAGTTGATGTTCATAGAAGCTAACGCAATTATTTCTCATCCGCTTAAGGACCATTGACTCAACAATTATTTAAATAGCACGCCTCTGACAGGCAAAGTGCTAGGAACGAGCGGCGAGTCGTTCACGGTTTCCTCGAGTTCGCAGAAATAAATCACCGCTTAGGCCAACCGATCCAGCCTCCGTTCGAAAAATCGTTTCTCGATAGACCGATCGACAGGTTGCGCAAAGATAAAAAGAGAAAAAGGGAACGCAGGTTGAATTGCGCCGCGAGGTCGGCGATCGTCGAAACCAGCGCGCCGCTTGAAAATCGGCGCGGTTTCGTTTTTCGCTCGAGATCCCGCGGCCGAACGAGTCCTCGGCCGTCGATTTCTTCGGCTATTTGCAGTGGTGACTGAACCGATGTGTCGCGACCACTGTGTCGGTGAAGTCACCAACACGTGTAATCCTCAACGGTGTGCGAAAACCCGTGTGCAGATTGGGCGCTTACGTCATCCTTGCTATTCCTGTTTCAGCCCATCTCTTCGCCGAGTATCCTGAAAACGAGCATCGTTAGAACCTGCAACGCGATTCGCTAACGTCCTAATCTACTCCGGAGCCGGGACGATCTGGCGACCGGGAGGACGCTGCGATCCGCTTCGGTGGATCCACGGACTCCGTGCAATGCCGAATGAAAATCGCGCAGGCTCGCGGCTCGATCCAGGAAAACGCGATGACGTTCAATTAGAGGACGAGCCAGTTTATTGCCGGGGCATAACTCGATAAGGCTCGCAAACATGGCGGGGATTCGTTAGCGGCGAGGCGGTCGGTGGGAATTTTGCATGGCATTTCGAGCCACGAATTCACGATCATTTCTGTTTTTTTTTAGATCGTCCTTCTACAGCGCGCGCACAATTGTTTAAAAGCTTCGCGCGATTCCTCGGGGCGAAGAGTCGCCCATTTTTTGCTCTTAGAGGCTGCGATATCCTGCGTGATTCGCGAAAATGTACTTCTTTAAATCGAGGAGTCGCGACCGTTGCAGTTAGAAAGACTTGCGAAGATTTGTATTTTGAGTTTCAGGGATGGATAGAACGAGGATGGACGAGAATCGTTCGTCTCCGCCTGCTTAATTTTTCCTGAGCCGGCGCGATCGTTAAGACCCGCATCAAGGCGGGACAAGCGGCAGGAATATTTCCGAGGCTGTAACTTTCACGGCTCGTTGACGGAATTTTACTTGGTCCCCGGTTCTTCTTTCTTTTTTTCGCCGGGAGGAAGATATCGACGCTGGATTTGGCGTGGAACGCGACTGCGAGCGCGTGGGAGGATCACGAGAACATTCGGACTGCCCACATGGAACGCCGCCGTAACGCATCGGCCAGTAAAGTATCGAGGCATTTCGTTGCGATTTTGAACGACGTCGGTTTCGGCGGAAGCGTCGTCTCGCTGTACGGAAAATAAAATTTGTTCGTTTCAGTCGAGGACGACCGAAAGGAGCGGCCCGGCGACTATTTTCCTTATTGACTTAGGCCTGCCTGGCTGGGCCTCGGTGTCCAGGCCTTCCAAGCCTGGAGCAGTTCGTGGAACGAGTGCAAAAGCGAACCTATTCCCTACTCGCTCTTGCTTCTTCCGAATCTCGCACTCTTTCTCTCACTCTCACTCGTTCCAAGAACTGCTCCAAGCCTGTGGAGTGAGTGCCTGTGGATCCGACAACGACTGGATCACCGGAAACTCTTGAAATTCGAAGCTGTTTCGCCGGGATGATTGGACCAGTCAAAATAACAGGTCGCGTTGAAACTGGTTATACGAAATCTTGATATTTTTACGCTGCTTTATCGGCGCGAAAGTTCGGACGAAATTAATAATAAGACGTTTCGTTGAAGGCAGGCAGCAGAGCCGTGGCAAATTTCCCGCAGACTGGCTGAACAAAAGCGGTTTCCATTGTCCGTCCCCGCGGAGACTCGGCTGCAAAACAAAGAATGTCCGTGCCTGTGTAAACATTTCCTGGCGTAATGATACGCGGGATGGCTCCGGGAGCGAGCGTCCTTGATTTTCATCAGCGGCATGCGTAATTGTGGTATAATATTACTGCCGATGGGATCCGCAACGATAAAGAAGAAGAAGAAGCGGACGCCGTTTTCGCGAGCGGGGAACAGAGGATCGTTCCTTCGACGGCCAACAAAAAGTGTAATAAAGGCCGGGGGATGCCTCTTCTTGTACGAGTGAACGGATAATTATATAATCAAGGTTATTACGGCATTAGATAATCGCCGTTGGACCGCGATAAAGATGCGCGATCGTTCTTTTAATAATATGGGCCTATTTTTAACGGATACTCGCGCGCGGGTATTAATAATATTCGCGATGCACATTCTCGGCAAATTTAATTGCCTGGCTTGGATGGTCGTTGCTCGTGTTGCGTTTCTCTTCGACCTTTCTCTTGAACTCCGTCGGGTCTCGGTTTCGACGAGCAGATAAAATGTCTCTCTCGTTTCATGGCGCGCTCTGTTCGAACTTACACGATCGAGATTATCCGTGGTATTTTTATCGAAAGAGATATTATTAGCGTCTCGGCAACTTTTGTTGCGCTTTTTAAAGATCTAAGTCCTTTCGATCCGTCGACGTAACCGCATACATACATATTCAATGCGAAACGTTGAGTAACATTTCACTTAACACGCGTGTTAGTACTCGCAGTAATTTGCACGGTAACGTATCTCGTTTCAGAGGTTTCGTTCGCTTACTTTCTACCATCGCAACCGGTGAACGGATATCTGGACATCTTCCAATCGATGAACAACAAGCAACATCGTCGGCAGTCAAGAATGTTAGAAATGCTTGGAACTTGTCTAGAAACAACTGCATGTCCGGACGCCGGTGAAAATGATGATGGCTCGCCTGAGTGAGTTCTTGAGTTTACCTGAATGAAAATGTTACGGATCGGTGGATCGATGTACAATCAATTTTCGAACGACCGCGAAATCCGCGATCGCGGCGCGACATTCGACGCGAATCGGACGAATATCGTCGTTCCGGTAATCGATCAATTTCCGAGCGTACCGGGCACGTGTCGCCGGGCTTCGGTGAATGATCGACCGATCCGTTGATTCATCGCGTTACATCATATCACAATGCGAGCTCCTCGCGCAGCGGCGCACCGCGCGCGCGCGGCCCTCGCGACACACGCGCGATAATGCACTTTTCCGCGGTGTGCAACAGGAATTCCTAGATTGGCTGGAGGTCGCTGGCTGGCTGCGACGATCAGCTTATTCGCATAGATTTCCCCGTTTCGATTAGACGGCGCATATAATCGCGGCGAGGAAGGCATTCCGCTTGATTCACGGGATAGCCGTAGCGGCCCGATCGCGCGCGCGTTTGATTCATGTCACCGTGCGAGCCCCCCATCGAAGTTTTAATGAGAGGCGTAATCGCGTCGCGCCTCGACGCGGCCATTCCGTACGATTCCGCCGCGATTCGTCCCACCTCCGTCGCCGGTTTTACGCGGGGAATAAACGTCAGCCGAACGTACGCGCGACCGTGTTCCCGAGGTAACAATTACTGTCAGCGACTCGTTCCTGGCCACCGAGTGCCCCTCGTCGTTCCGTCCGTCCGTTCGTTCGTCGGCATCGACGTGTTCGACGCACATGTTCGGCATCGTGCGCCGACGATTCGAGCCAGCAATTACTCGGTACGACGAACGATACGCTTAATCGAACGAGCAACGCAACGTCACGCGATCTTGAACATCATTAAACGAACTTTTATCGTCCATTGCCGACTTAATAAACGAGATACGGGCCTTGTGCCGCGCCGCAGCCCCGCCGGATACAACCCGCTGCACGCATTCGACGGAGAGTTCGACGCGCGGAGATCGATGTTGATGGGGCATTGAAATCACCGGGGCCGATTCTATGGCGCGCGGCCGGCGTTTCAAGGGAACCGCGACGAGAATATCGCTGTTACCGCCGATTGTTTTCGATTTCCTGAGAAACCATTATGTCCCGAAGCGGCTCCGAAACGTCTGGCACCATTCGAACTATGCTAGAA